GAATTGCAAAAGCATTCCTTATTATAGTGATGTCCTCGTTGACAACTGTGCAACACTGTGCAATTCTATTTGCCCATGTATAATCAAACCATAAGCTTCTATAGAAATGTCATCGTGCGTCTCGGAAATGACCTTTGAACCCGCACTCGGGTCACAAGGAGAGGAGGGGATGGAACAGACTTAACGGGGGAGATAAGAAAACAACATTTCCTCCCTCCTCCTATACCGCCTTGGTTTTCATCGACTCTTTTCGTTGTACAAACACAGATTTCTCTTTACGTTTAATAATTTTAAACCACTCTCATCACTAATAACCATGTATATAGAAATTTTCATATGCATTTATTGTCCAGTCAAATAAGAGACTGAAAGTTTACAGTTAGAAGCGGTAGAGATTATTTAAAAGAGGAAAATACACTTATCCTTAGTAGTGATCTTACCAATGAAAAAACATAATTATGTTTTTATATTATATTTAATAATGCAGAAAACCATTAACACATTTCATTTTTTGTTTTTTTGTGCCAAAATCAATACGCTCTCTATTTTATTTTCTAATCATGAATATTTACATCTTTCTCTCTTCTTCACAATAATAAATATAGTCTCAAAATAAATCATCAAATATATATCTCAAACAAAGATTTCTATGTACGTCTATAGAATTCATTGATTAAAAATATTTTAATTCACACGATTGTCTTTTTATTTCCAAATTAAAGCATTCTGGTACCTCTCATGGCCATCAATTTATAGCTTACGGTATCCAATAAAAATAAAACAAGCGTTACACAACCGACTCACATCACATGGACCGATAGTAGTTGACCGGTTCTCAATAATATAAGTTTCGTAAGAATTCAAATGCTTCTTCATTAACGAAATAAGCGCCATCTTATGAGCAAAGCCGCTAATCTATCATTACGTACTACTTGCCATAAAAATAAATAAGAATATTCACTCTATTACTTTTCTAAATTCAAATCATTTTAAAAATAGATAAATTTTTACGAAGAAGATAGTCTGTAAATAGTTTGTGTCTCCTATAAAATCTTAAGAGTCTGATTAATCATTCATATTATTATGCTCTCAAAGAGCTCCATGATGCAGTGTTCGCGAAAATTTGATGCTGATTAAAAGTTTATTATCACAAGTAACTCCGTACTTCGGCAAGTATGTTAAGCCGTTAGTCGTGGCTGCATCTACCACAAATAATGCAATGGCCTCCATAACCCGCGTGGAGGGTTAAAAACCAATTTAAAATTTGTTGTTTTTATTATATTTGATCAATTTTGCAATCTCAAGGCTTCGTCACTGCTCAGTCCTTATAAGTCCTGGGCAGTTCAGTGGTTAGAGCAATCGCCAAGATTGCCAAAGATCATGGTTTCGAAACCCATCTCTGAGTAAGACAACTGGATTTTTTAAGCAATATATTATTGTTTTTATTTATAAAAGTGACCGTTAGTGAGTTTACCGCAATTAGATATAACTCTATATTAAGTATCTATTAATATATTGGATTTATTCAAGTTTGAGTACTTTATTTTCCAAATCAAAACGGATTAAGTATAGTACTTTAAAATAGTAATTTTGTACCTTATTGTTATTTATACAAATATGAATATTAAAAAAAATATTAAGATAAAATTTACAAATCTAAGCAAACTTTGAAAATATAAGACTGACATTGCTTTAAGATAAAATTCTCATAAAATTTAAATAAAAAAAGTAGTTTGGCAAAACTTCATGTGCACATTCAATGAAACGGTGCACTGATCTTTGCCACTTGTCACGACAAATTGTGACAGGTTGCCAATATGTAGCTAAACATAATGGTGAACATAAAATCTGGTCCTTAAAACAACTTATACGACTTACGCGAGATCAGAGCTGATGCGTTCTATGTGTTACTTTTAGGTTACTCGTACTATAGACGACTATTGTGCCAATCTAAAAAGGTTTTAATGTTCCATGGTTATTTCAAAAGGAATAATTCCTTAGTAGTATTATTTAACTGTTACAGCTAAGCTGCTCTTAAACTATTGAGTCATCATTTGACCACAAAAATGGCTTATGTACGATTGACAGACAAACGTGCACGTAACGTTTAGCATGGAAGTATTAAAAAATTATAATATACTGTCTATTATTTGTGGTACATTTTAAAATTAGAAATAAACTCTCAGTCAGATTAAAGCGGTCACATCGTATGCGAACCAGAAACGTTCCGCAAATACAGGCCACGCGTCAATTTCACGCCATTTACCTGCGCACAATACGCACGCGCAGGAGAAAAACACTTTTTTGAAAAAGAACTGATTTTACGTACTCATTACAACAGTACGCTTTAATTGAACAATAGATCACGTAATTTCGGAAGCACGACTGTAGCATACTGCGATTAAAAAAGATTCAGTGATTTTATTCGTAGTATTCACTAGCATATATAAGATATAAAAATATTAATTAAACACTTCCCGCAAAAACGCGTGAAAATAGCCATTCATAGTGCGTCGTTTATCTCACGACATCTGTAGTACCTAATCTATAAAATAATTGAGAGTTTTTATCGTGAAGTTCCCTCTATTTTGCTGCATATATAGTAATTGCCGACAGGAAACATTATTCCTTATAGTCATAAACACAATTACGTCCGCGGTTTGACAACTAATAATTACTGATGGGCCCTCCGAAAAGGCAAACCGGCCAAATTACGCTAAACGCCGAACTTAACCCTCGAAAAGTCACCGACAATTACAGTTAATAAATAATAATTTCGATAATGAGCGTGCACAAAAAGTTTTCGAGATCACCACTATTGTTTGAGCCGTACAACGGAGGTGCGCTTCGAAATCGTATGTAAACCGTGATGAGTGATGGATCAAAAATATTGGTTATGTTTAAAAAAGGCCGCGCACGTCCTGTAATGGGGCTACGGTAACAATCGCGCGGCACTGGCGATTATGACGATTATTGTCGATAACTTGTATCGACACCGGCTATTTGGTTAGTCGTCGATTATCGATAATTTGCCCTCGGGGTACGCTCCTGACGCTGTAAATCGCAGGCCGATTAGTTTTTTATTGTCTTTATTTGTTTCTACGTGATCCATAGTTTATTTCGATTTACAGATATTTGATAATAAATTGATTTTTGTTATTCAGTTATTAATAATTTGATTTCATGATCCAAAAAAAAATCTAATATTCAAGCTAAACTAAAACGCAATAAAGAACAAATTTTATAATGTAGTGTAGATACATATTTTCTTAGTATCCTCTGGGAGAGAATGTATAAAATGGAAAAAATCTAAGACTTTAATACACTCTTATAGTCCCAATATTTTTATAGTTAAATAGGCCCAGTATCTGAATAGCAGTTGCTGAGAACACGTAAAAAGATATCAATATCGCACAAAAGAGAACGTAATTTTCGCGCGGGTATTAACTGAAATACGTTCCGTTATGCTATATCTCGACATGTTTTAGTACCTATAATTCTATTCTACGGTACCATATAAAATAGAAACTCTGGACTTGCGAGCTTTCAAAAACGCGACATTAAAACATCATAAAACTCAAACATAAACGTTTACTGCGGCTGTTTTACGAGCACGCTACCTATCGATCGGTTTTAACGATATATAAAAATTAATGGACAAACGTAGGATGGAATCGCAGTGGCTTCGAGGTGAGAAACGACGTCTAAAGAAAAATCAAGTGATTTCTAAAATTCGAAAGGGTTAATTAATCGAACTTTTGCGAAATATTTCATTTCATCGGATGTATTATACTTTTGTACTTTTTACTAATGAAGTAGTATCATGTACTACAATAATGTAAAAGGTAAATTAATGTTTGGACCTGGTTTAGTCGGAAAGAAATCATGTTGACTTGGAGCTTGCTATTCATGATTGCACCTCAAATAGCTATCTATTACATGTCTTACATGAATAATGTAATGGAATTTAATAGTTTAAGATAATAGAACTATGCACATCAAAGCTGAAAAACTTTCGATTAATCAGTTTTTTCACAGCTTGACATAAGCATGACCTATGCCACCAACGGAGTTGTGTTTTGAGCTTATATAGTCACTCATCCAAAACATGATACTAACGTGAAAGTACAAGAAAATTAATTTACACAACTTTAAGATTATAATATTTGATCAATTTTACATTTACAATGCTATAATTAGCATTACATAAATAGCACTTTTAATGCATATTTGATCAAATATAATAATTATTCAATAAAAAGTTTAAGATAGTTGTCTAAAAACCAACATTATCTAAAATATATTTGTAACTGCTTAATTGATTTCCACAGACATTTACCATCTAAATGTACTTGGTCAACCTCTGTCGATCTTATTAGCTAGCACCGTCGGATGCAGAATCGCACCCCAGCTACCGACGAAGGGAGGATGGGTGGGGAAGCGAAATGGAATTCTATCCGTCTCTTCCATTCCACGCCATTCGTCCTACGTGACTTTATAGATACCTAGGTACAACTTTCACCTTGCAACTACGTTGAACTCTCGATGCTGAACTGTAAAGTTCAAATTTGCATTGTCACGTTCTAAAAAGTTTTGTTTACGTCTGAATTTCCATGTTCAACCATTTTGGAGCGTAGCCGCGCAGTACGGCTAGCAGTTTAGAGTTCCTAAAGACATTTTTGCTTATATTTTTTCATTTAAACAGTGACAGAAAACTTATCAAAGGAAACTAAATTTAAATATAGAGTTGACTAAATTTAAATTAGTTTTTTTTTGTTTGCTTATATCAAAATTAACTTTACATTTTAAGACATTTTAAGCCATTCATGATATGAAATCGACTTACTAACCGAGTGATTTTCAATTTCTTATTATCTTTATAATTTATTCTTTACAGCTCTACATATAGCGTCCTTAAAACTTATGTTATTATTGTATAGGCTTTCCTCCCTATTTGTTTATTGAAAAAATATTTCTAAACAACAAGCTGTACCAGACTCTCATGCAGGAGGTGGTAGAGCGTGCCCTCGACAACAACAGATGAGTTGTATCAGCAGCGGTAAATAGCCTGGAGCAAGCGTACTAGGGCGCAACCCTAAAGAGGGAAAGAGGTTACGTTATTAATAGAACATTAAAATGGATTGGCTGTTTTTAAAACCTTTCGTGAAGCTCGTTATATTTTTGTTGCATAAAAATAAACTTTTATATCAAAAGAACTTCTTTGTTGTAATCAAAAAGGTGGTATAACAAAAGTGTCTTTGTTTCGCGAGTGGCGCTAAAGAAAATTAACCTGGAAATTAAGAAGCTTTTCACGAACAAAAAAAAATTTTATCCTTTTGTTAGAATGAAACAAAATTGAAAATTCAAGTGTAAAAAATTAAACATCGTTACATCATTATTTAACATTAACATAATCATACGTAACAAACTGCAAAATCTGCATGACTCAACCCTGTGTTGGCGCGTGCGTTTGATTGATAAGCGTTATCGGCGCGGGCCTGCCAGACCCCTCCGCCCGTAAGGGTAACGTTCTGGAAATAGCAGAGACGTTATCAGCAACGGAGGGTTGAAAATATATTTCCGAAACAACCATAATACAAAACTGAGTACCTTTGAAAATCCCAGACTGCTTTATTTAGTACATAACTTTGTTATTATTAAAATAACACTTATGTATAAAAAAACATTTTTCTAATTATTATTACGTTGATTTAAAACTTTATTTTGTTAGTAGCGTAGTGGATAAATGCCGCGGCCCGCGAACGTTGTTCTTAAGCATCTTACGTAAGAGTAAGTCATGGGATGGGTGCCCAAAAATTTTTTTTTTGAGAATAAAGAAAAGGGCACGTTAAGACGTTGGTCCCAGCTGTATTTGCAGTCGTCAATACCCTCCAATCCACATTAGGCCAGCGTGGGGGGTCATAGCTCATAAAAAAGCCTGAGTCCCTGCAGTAGCAACGTAAAAGGGTTGATAATAATGATTATTTAAAACTTAATTTGTTGATCCGAGATTTCGTGAGTTTTGAAAAAAGAAATATAACAAATGATTGGAAATTTAAAAAATATTTGGTATAAAATTATTTGTACTTTTATTCAATTTGGTATCGATTTAGTACATTTAATAATAAATATCTTTAACGTTAAAATCGATTAATACTATAAAAACAAAATCTATGCTAAGTGATTTTTACGTATTTGAAAGCATTTAAATATAAGGAATTTTTGCCATTAATGGTATCCGAAGCTACGCCAATTCAGCAAAAAAATATTAATCAACAAACTTTTTTATCGCTTTTTTGATATAATATACCGTTCACATTAATCCTAAGATAAAGTATGATCATAACAATACTAGTACAATCCCATATCGGCCGCGTAAGCTTCTTAACCCTCACACGGAGCGGGTCTAATCTACCCAAGCTGGCTTAGCGCAGCTAGTGGAAACAATGCTTGTTTGCTGTATCAGTATCTGACCAATTCGCTCACTGAGCTTTAGGGGGATTCCCCTTTAATCTATAGGTAAAATATGAACTGAAGAAATGATTCTAATGCATTTTTTTCATTCACAGTTTTGGATAATTTTCCAATTTATTTATTTTTATTTCTTTATATATTTTTTCAAATATACAACCTCGAACATGACCCAATGCCAACAACGCTTTATCCTAAGTTTTTGTTTCAACGTTAGAATAGAAAAACAATCAAAACATCGAGCTTTCGATAAGTCAATATAAATAATTATTTATTAATTGTAAATCTAAATGCGTTTGTTTATGAAATGACTCTGTCCTACCATATTTCTTTTTCCGAAACCAATTACAAATTTAAACCTTCGCAAAACATCGATTCTCAAACAAACGCGGTCAATTGGGCGTCGCGTGTTCGATCTATTTGTAGAGTTATTCCACTCTGACAATATCTAAACACAATTACAACGAGCAAATATAGGCGAGACGCCGCGGGCGCGCACATGTTGCGTAGCCTACCCCACAACGCGGTTGTTGTTCTACGATTTGCGCAATGTTGGGGTATCTTATACCCGCTGTTACGAAATACTGGTTAACGTTTTGCGAAATGCGTAATGGGATGCAGTTACTATATTATAATCTATTGAAAAGATCTTCATAGTCAAAACTAAAATACAACTATTTAGTACTGTCTTATAGCGTGCAATTGTCTCTACCTACTCATACACTACCTAGGAATGTGAGTTATACATTCAATTGTACAAACAAATATTAACGTTTAATGATGACTTCAACCTCCAATTAATGTATCGATAATGACGCTTTTTGTGTAACTGATAAGATATTGGTTCGTCCTAAATATAATTTTAAAATAGTATGTAAAAACTCAAAGTAAATTCAGCGTATATGCAACAAAATATATATATATATATATATATATATAAAATTGCTACATTGACTGGGACTAGAATTTAGAACTTCCCTATGGTTCTGGATCTGTCCCTGTGGTTCGACATGGGAAAACTAGCCGGTGGCATCCTTATTTCCCGATCACGTATTTCGTCGGATAATACAAACGATTGTTATAATATTACGAGAATAAAGAGAAACAATTAGGTACTGATAAAACGTAAAACTAATCTTCATATAGACTTAATATTAACCAACTTCTTATAAATATTCAGTGTCGTAATCTTTTTTGTAACAAAATCTGTATTTAATCTATACGTATTTACTATGGTACTCGTGATGAGTAACTTAAATATAGATTAACTATTAACTAATAAAGAATACACACTAAGATTCACGCATACATATACCGAATACAGGGGCACTCGTTAAGCTGTTTATCGGCTAATGACATTCAAATCCGTAAGAGATACAGTAGCGATGGAATATATTAACACCCGAACGTAAGTCAACATGCTAAAACTAGAAATACCGGAACAAAACACTTACTTGTCAAACTTGAATTTAGTGATATAAAAATAGTTTACCCTTCTATGATTATACCATTTTATTTTGAGATACCTATGTTTGGAACAAATGACGTCTATAATGTATATGTTACGCTCAAAGATCGAAAACGCTCAGTGAGCGGAAAAATAGCTCACAACACGTTGTGGTCACAGTAAAACATCCACATGGCGAAATTCGTGTTATGGCTCTAATGAAAACGCGCATGACGCGTTGTGGCATGAAAAGCCATCACGCGTATGGAATATTATTTGATTACGACGCACACTACTTTCCGATATGGATCCTACTAGGCCTAGGCTGGAAACGTTTTGGTAGATGTCCTTAGGAAATATTTTTTATTTTATAAAATCACTGCATAACGTGTTTGTTATTATGAAATATATTATATAAATTAAGATAAAACGATATTTGTTGTTTATTGAGATTACTTTATATTTAAAAAAATCAACGTATTAATATTAAGTAATAAATTACTGAACACGAAATGTTAATCATTTGTAAATTTCTTACAATTCACTTAAAATAATTAGGAATTTTAATTTTTTTATGACAATTTAAATTCTTTCAAGTAATAAAAATATTTAACACAAACATAAATGTTTATTGTCCACCAATAAACAACAATAATGTACTTAAAATTAGTATTTGATTGCTATTTATTTTTACAGGAACTATTACTGTGGCATTTGGAGTTGCATTTTATATTCTTGGAGCGACACTTGCACTTTTTATCAATACAGTATCTTTTGCAGTGGCACATTATAAACCCTTGCTTACTTCCAGATGATAACATAGATGCTGAGCGGAGTGTTAACGACGAAGTTCGTTACAACCTATCCGTCGTGATATGGTAAAAACAATGAGTGCTCAGAACGCATCATGGCTTTTTTCGTTGCCACAACACGTTGAGATCGAATAGCATGTCAGCCACGACACGAATTTCGCTATTTGGTCTTTCTGTGATTGCCAACACGAATTTCGCCATGTGGATGTTTTACTGTGACCACAACGCGTTGTGAGCTATTTTTCCGCTCACTGAGCGTTTTCGATCTTTGAGCGTAACATATACAAATTATATATGTTTATAAAAAATCAAATAATAAAAATGTTTTTTATAATTAAAGACGCGTCCGAAGTCACAATTTGATTTCAGATTCCTTTTTACTTTTCAGTGTCGAAGTGCTTTAAAATTCCCTAATTGACTATATATATAATAGTCATTATTGGTTTCCCACTTCTGTTTATGGAGGAGGTACAATATGCGTTCTTCTTCCTTACTTCTAGATCAGCCGTTACCTCAATATTTACTCCACTCTATTTATTGAGATCTTTATTACATATCAATTATTTACATCAAAGTTTACACTTCAGGATCCAAACCAAAGATTTTATTTATTCTTCTACACGATTATGATTTCAATAATAAAATCAACGAATAATTAAACTTTTTTATATCTTACTTATTGTAAACATATTCACGCCACTTTGGACCTTTCAAATTTTCCAACAAGAGGGGATGGTATCAGTCGTGCTGTTCTGTAAAAATCCAGACCCGAATTAGAATTCACTCTGGTTTCCGAATTCACTTCAAAAAGCGGCATCTGTTCTATGTTGAATAGGTAATAACGTTTCGTGGAATAAGTGAAGTGAGTTTCGAAATGACTTAAGAATAATAATAATATCTGAGACACATGTGATCAATCAATTTTGTTTTGTATTCTTATACAAAATGATATGATCAATAGAATTTCTCCACTAAATGACATGGAGTCGACAAATGAGTGAATTCGAATTCGGGTTCGGGTTTTTACAGAATCGCCATGCAGACATCAAAATATTTGTACTCTTACTACATATTTCAGTTCTCGTTGCTCACGACTCTCGTATCTTGCTTACAATCAGTCACTTTTTTCTATATCACGTCAAGGTGCTACCTTTACAAAACATCCAATAAAAAAGTAAAAAACGTTGTCTATGCCACTACCGCGTGGAGACGTGGCTAATGTGTAATGCGGTTGGCTTTTTATCCGACTCTTTGGTTCTTTTTGTTTCTTTTTTACATTCGAATTCTGTTACGGTTCGTACTGATCGAAAAATCGGATTTCAAAATGGGTGCTACGAAGTTTTATTGTTGCGGGCGATACGTTCTTAAACAATAAAAAACGCATTTTAAACTGAGAATGCAATTCTCACATGTCACGTTCAGAAATTGGAGGCGTCGTGGTCGTGTTTTAGAAAAGTAATTATTCGGTTTCGATTGGGTCCGACTTGTGGTGAGGCCAATAAAAGATCTCATTTATTTTTTCATATAGCAACACTGCATTGTGTACGTGAAAGCGTATGTCGATATTTGATTGGACTTGCGTAAATGTTCGCGACCAAGAAAAGGGTAATTTCGATGTAATCTAGTCTCTTATTTTATTTACGTGACATTGACCCGAAGTGGGACATGTCTAATTTGTTACTCCCTTTCTAATTTGATATATTAAACAGATTATAATTAAGTACGTGTTTTATTAGCGAGTATCACCTTAACATACCTACTAGAAATTGTCTGACATTTTGGTCATGGCTTATTGAAGGAAAATGAATTGTCCAGAACAATAATAGCACAATCACAACAATGAAGTAAATCAACAATACACTGTCATTATTTATAGTTATTAAATAACTTTCCCTTGCCGTTAATGCTAGTAACGAAATATCAGGTAATGTTAAACATGTTCAATTTGAATATAGAATAATATTATCAGCATGTAGATATCCAAGGTCATATTTCATTAAAATAAAAAATTGTCTATGGTCTAACACTTACGGTGCGTCGTTGGCGCCTTTCCTGCGAGATAATCCTCTTTGCATATAAACTTGTTGTCGTCTAGGACGTATAGCTCTTCACCGGTCGACAGTTGCTTTCTGCATACGAGGCAAGTGAAACAGTTCAGGTGGAAGACCTTTTCCCTCGCTTTCCGAACGAGATCCGATGGTGATATTCCATGTCCGCAACCAGAGCATTTTGTCCCATATCGTCTGTGGAATAAGGGAAACTATTAAATTAATATTACTAGTATACTACTATTTACAACAAGCATATTAGGCATATAATCATATTATCTTACATCCTTCAACTGATTTATCCACAAAAAACATTATTGAATTATAGATTAAAAAAAAACTATTCCATTAATAACGTTCGCCGTTGGTAAAAGCCGCTTAAAAATCTGTTCGGTTGATTTTTCTAGTGAATTTATTGTAAGTATTCATGCAAGATTTAACTATTTTCATACAAACACGACAGGAAGACCTAAATCATATGTAATGTGAACTTTAGATAGGTGCTTTTAATAAGGTACGTCAAATGATTTGAATGACTGAGGACATAATAACAGCTAAGACTCGAAGATTAGTAAGCTTTCCTAGGCAAGGCAAAGGCCGCCAGATTGCAGCACTAGCATAGTAAAGTATAAAGCACTCATTTCTAAAAGAGAAATTTGAAAAGGTTTGTTTGCTTACTACTTGTGCTAATGTTGCTATCAACGTCGAGCTTTGTGTAATATTCCCAATTTGGTTAGTCATCAATACTAGATCCTACATTACCTTAAACTTATCAATAGTCTTATTACTCTAAAACATTTACGTTTATTATTCTCTTCAATGTAAAAAGTATCAACTCTTATTCACATGATGATTAAAGTGTATCCAAATAGTTTTGAATTTTTTTATATTCCCATTGATTCCAATCATAGATATTTAAGAATATAATATCTTAAAACTAATGAAATGTAACGAATAATAATAATAAAATTATTGCGGGCTCATAGTAGCGGTCTGATTGACGCTGACATACTAAACAAGGGATGGGTCAGTCTCAACAGATATACGTCGTGATCACAAGAATTCGGTTATGGTGATGAAAATCATCGTTTACATTCATTAAAGCTACTAGACGACCGTAATTGCTTTAGGGTTCTGTAGGAATACGATAAATCTTTTAAGCGTATTAATCCACTAGCTACCGTTGAATAAAATCTATATATTGGTTAAATAATGAAACAAATTTTAAACGGTTTCATCGTGTTTGTATTAAGTTTTTTTTTTGACGTTTCGGACCATTCATAGGTTCCGTGTTCACGAGAACACTACAACAATGAAACTATATACAAACGCGATGAAAACGTTTAAAAGTTATTTCATCTGTATATATTGTTTGTCCAACAATTTCTCGGCCAAGATAGACAATGGTAACAATCTGACTAAATAAATACTTATTTTAGAATCTATTCATAAAATCTTTTTTATCGTTTTTACAATTTTAACAATACATAATTTACTTCCATTACAAGCCCAATCTCAATATAAACAATAAAATAAACCCATAATAATACTTAAACCTCTTATAGTTTCCCACCAAAAAAGTGCAACGTAATATTTCATATTCGTAAAATATATATTAAATGCAAATCTCAAAATGAATGGTAATAAATACAAATCTTTTAAAGTCATTTTTCCCTACCACGCAGTAAGCTCTTTTATGGAACCATTTTTAAAAGCGCAACTCCACCTTGGCCATTTTTTAAAAGCTGTTATTATAGAACATTTGCATAAGATTCTCATGTGTACTTACATAGGCCATAACATTGCTCATATAATAGCTCAAACTCCCGTGTAGGTGCCTTTTTAACTGAGCCCCGTAGAAAGTTATTAATGACAATAATGATATATAGTCAATAGATTTACATTTTAAGAGTTTGGTAGTCAATTTTGTAGTTCTATTTGGTCCAATATAAAAGGGCTAACTTTCGATTATGAGTATTTAGCTCCAAGTTACCCTTAATAAAGTAAAGAAATAATTTATAAAATAACAAACAAAATTTGATATGTTTATTTAACCATCTCGTTTCTGAACTATTTATGATTCTTTTAGACATAATAACATCTTATTATCATTTAAAACAATATGCATTAAATAACACCAATTCTAAATAATAATTTTAGTAATGCAAATTTTAATATACAATTATTTAATATAGACGGTCTTCTTCCATATAACGTCCAAAATTATGAATAGTTCAAATATTTAATTTTTCCTAAACCAAAATAACTTCAATTGTTATCATTAATTTCAGTAAATTAACGTAAAAGTCATTCAACAGTGAAACTTTTTGAGATAGACAATGTGGTTTCAAATACAAATGAGATAATAAGCTTCAATCTCATTCAGAACTTTTGTTAATAATCTATATAATTATATTTTAACTGCCAAAGTAACCATGTCTGTATGTCACTTAAACCGCTGAACCGACTTAGATAAAACGTAATATGGACATAGTATAAAACCCTGGTAAGAAAATCATGTTATTTTTGTTTCCGAACTTATCTACAGGAGTGAAAAAAGAGATAGTGGATTATATAGCAAATCATTTATTTGTCTACAGTCTGTTTAATAACTTTTCCCTTTAAAAAGATCAGCTATCAGTTTTATAAATATGAAGTTGATACTCTACCAGACTTAGTTCGGGGAAAAAATAAATATTCGCTACTTAGGGCAATTGGTCGGCTTCCTTCCTCTTAGACGGGGCCTCGGCTCTGACAAAAATTCGTTATTGGAAATATAATTTCTGCGCAGCATGCAAATTAGTATGCGCGATAAATAAGAAATTATAACTTATTTAGGAAATACATATAAAAATATACCTTAAGCAATATTTAAATTTGTATTGAAATCTACAAATTTATTTGACGTCGATGTTACTAGAGGTTTTATTCACGAAAACAAATATAACAAAATGTTTTTTCGCTGTAAAATCTACTGTAAATATGATAATATAATGTGATAACATTATATCTCAACATAGCGTTGCAACATGAAATAAATACAAACACACTATCAGAATATATCAGTACTATGCGTTACAGAATAAAACTATATTAAATAAGTAAAATTATATATATATAATTTATAAATACGAAGTTGAGTTACACCTTTATAAAAGAACAATAAACATACCGTACTCCACGGTATTTTATTATATAATCATCACGCTGAATTATTGTTGGTTATTTGCATAAACGATGGTCGCATGAATAATACATACAATCGGTTGGCTCAGCTTTGTTTGGCGAACCGCCATCTTAAGTTTTTATTGGATTCGTACGCGATTTGTAAGAATAAATGCACTCAAAAACAATATTTTAGTTTTGTTGTTTTACTTTATTTTTTTCCAAACGATTACTATTATTTCCGTTTTTATTTCCATTTCATTTTTCTTTTGAAAACTCTGTTTAATAATAAATACTTTAATTTCTAACACAATAAACAGCATCTTTTAATAATATAAACAGCCAACATCAAACATATTTATTAAAGTTAATTTATATTATGACTGATAGGCTATGTCAACCGCGTAACATATGATGTAAAAGATTTTTGAAATCGGTCCCTTAGTATCGGGGCCTATTGAAAGCAAAAAAAAAAAACAAATCTTTCCTCTTTATAACATAACTAAGTAAACTAATCTGTAGTATTTTTAATTGTATTTTCAAAAACGAAACGTTATTACAACATTTTTTTTAATTCCATTAACTTTTCTTGAATATTTTATGAGCTAACGAGTCGAAGTTTGTTCGCCCTGAGGTAACTTTGGTATTCAAAATTAAAAACCGCAAAAGGAACAGATAAAACAATGATGAATTGCTAATGTAAAAATTTATAATATTATAAATAATAGCAATTGAACCCTTCCACAGTTCCTTGAGCCTGACCTGTCCTTGTACACTTCGCGTCATCACATCGCCTGCTGATAAAAATGCTCCACTAGAGAAGCACAGGCCTGTCCTATGGATGGAATCGAATTAAATTGAGTAGGTGAATGGGCAATAACCGACCACTCAGATCCAGGTATTAACTACAGATTAATACCTACCAATGCGAACCAATTGCTTAGCGTACCTTCCGACGAACGGAGAAGCTCGAGATAAAACATCGTTGGCAACCCATCCTAAGGTGCGTATTGCTTAAATTCCCATTGTCGCATCACAATGGCAGACAGAACCTAGTAGCGATTGAGCCATCGAGCTTCAAACTTCTATATAACATTTTAATTAATTTAATGCATTTTGGGCATTTATGACCGAAATCTTTAGAATAGCTCGGTGACGTAGTGGATAAGCGCCGCGGCCCGCGAATGATGTTGTTAAGCAACTTTCGCAGAGATCGGTAAGGGAATGGGTGACCAAATATCTATTAACTTGATAAGTAAACCGTCGGCCTCGACTGCATTTGCAGTCGTTAATATTCTCCAATCCGCATTGGGCCAACGTAGAGGGACATGGCACATCCTCCTTAACCACCCATAAGGCCTGACCCCTGCAGTGGGGATTTTAGTTTTTAATAACAAATGAAGTAGGTTCAAGTAAGCAATAATGTAATCTCGAGTGTAACCGACTAGAATATTCATCATTGATTCTTATACTATTTACAATATAAAATAAATAATGAGTAAATTTAACCAGTAAAGGTAGTTGCGTTTAAGATGAAACTTGAAAATGAGAACTCAAATTAGTACTTTGTTAACTTTAAACCTTTAGCCGCCTACGACTACGTAATATCAAAATAAGAGTTTAAACTTGCATGTCTTCAATTTATTATAAAATGGATGATGTATTTAGCTATGTTATATATTCTAAAATAACTCAATCCTCTAGTAAAATATTAAAGTACGGTTAAAGTATTCAAACACAATGATAAATGCCATCAAAATACTTATTCCAGAACGTTGTAAATAAAGCCACAATGGCTGCGACGACACAACCGGAAATGATGTCACTTACACGAAATGTCAGTTGACGAAGTCATCGTATTACAACTACTTTGGAATTGAGCTATTACATTATTAGTTTTTACTATTATTAGTCGACATTCATTTAAATTTTTATATCTGCACGTTATGTTTAAGTTGAGTTTTTAAGAGCTTTCTTATTTTAAAAATCAGCACTTAGCTGAAGAACTGAATTGCTTACTGGAGAGCATGATCGGTCGGTAATGCAGGACTTAAACTACTTTAGCCAAGTCCGGTCATGGGATGGGTGACCGAAAATTTATTATTGCGGCAGGTTAAGCCAACTTTTGCAGTCATTACCACCCTTCAATGTACACTGGGCCCGCGTATTGACTCATGTCCCATTCTCGTTATTCTAATAGAATGATCGGATTCCATCGAAAGGGCTTGAGCCCAGCAGTGGGGACACCTTAATTTCCAGATTGATACGATATATTGCTTTTTAAATTTATCTTATATAAAATCAATTTACTTTTACTTACTACAATCATATGTACAAAATAATGGGATATTATAAGTAGATATAAATAACACTGTGGAAGATTTCTCATATTAAAATGGTGTTATTAAAAAAATATTAAACTAATTTTTACTATCATTGTGACAATGTATAAGCAAATTTTCAATCACAATTATTAGATAAAGCTCAAGGAATTTTAATTAATTTGTAGTGGAAATAACTAAAAAACCACGAAGTTTTAACCATATTCCTAATATGTATCTAATATGCACATTAACTATCCACAATCACAAAAAGAATTAACTTAAATAGAATCACACAACACATACTAAAAAAAACTATTTTTATGTTAAGCTGTGCTTAAGCAAAAGTAAGGCGTGTGTTTTCGTCTTCTATGGAATACAGACATTATTTCGATTATTTAATCCACTAAAATGTTTTGAAAAGAACATCGATATTAACCGAATTAAACCATCAACAGAGCGGAAGTCGTAAGTGAACCGTTTTCCGCTCAAACCTGACCTGCGACAATTTTTTTGAAGGTTTTGGCGCCGTACAATTTAACAATAACACTATGATCATTCTGATGTTAGACATAGAGAAAATTATAGTTAATTGTGGGCCTTGAATGGTTTTGAACCTTTTTCTGCGGGTGGTCAAATGATCCACTTTTTTTTTACGTTTAAAACACTTTTGAATTTAAACGTCGTTTTTTTTGTAGAAAGAGGTTTTATGTTGAAGGTTAGTCATATAGTACTATAGACAAGGACTTTAGCATATAAAACTAAATACCGCCATAAAAAAACTTTCTCTTAACTCACTATGTGTGTAAGTATATTGATAATGGATAAGATATATTACGTAATTGCTATCCCAATTAATATTCGCAAAAATATTATGATATTTTAATTTCTGGTATATTACCTTGTAATTTCAGATTTATTTGTTGGAAATAAGGGAAGAAAGTCAAGAAAACATTATAGTCAAAATATACTTTTATAGATATTATTATACATGTTAAATGCTTTATCCATTTATGATTTCCAGAGATTTATTTTTATTCTGAATCCAACTTGATTAAAATAGGAAAATGTATTAAAGGGGATGGGGGAGTTATCTATATACCTACAAATAACATTATTGATGAAAAAAGTATGTTTATTATTCTCAAGAACTACAGATTCGAAATGAATAATTATTAATGCGCTTACTAGTTCCTTTATTAAGGAAGGTTGTATAATCACGCTATGACTACTAGGAGCGGAGCATCAATGAAAAATTTTGCACAAACGAGAAAACGCGGACGAAGCCGCTGCCGGAATGCTAGTGTGCATGAAGTACTTTCAACAAATTTTAGCGTCGGAAAGTATTACCCTATACTTTAGTGATATTGTAAAGAGAGAGTGTGAATTTCGTATAAATGCGGGTAATCATCAGAGATAACCAATCACATACATACCTAAAATCGATCGGGATCAGCTTTATTATTCTTTAATAAAATCAGCTTCGTACTAGACTTTGAGCACTATCACAGCATAGAGCTTCAATGGAATAAAACCTTTTAGATTTCATATAATTGAACCTCTATGCTGTGACAGCGCTGTGCTAGACTAATGTCTTGCATAAAAATGTTTACCATTAAAACTTATATTGTTTCAGACGTTCTTTTATCTGGATTTATGAGACATTAAGTAAGCATTTATCGCATAATGTGATGATATTATGCTATAAATGCTTACTTAATTGATGATGATCAAATGACCATAAATTTAGTATCTTTTGATTCTCCATGCTTCAGAAGGTTCGGTGAGACTTTAGTCTCTGTAATAAAGACCAATCATTCCGCATTAGACCTGTGTAGTTAGGAGTTTCTTTTTAGTCTACGCCACAACCATTACCAGCCTATAAATGACAGCAATCTACGTACAAAAGTAACCAATAACAATAAAACATTCAGTCAAATTATAACTTTTTCTTTTTTGTTGAAAAAGCTTTAATATTAACAATATCTAGTTAAATTATTTGCAACAATGAAACCGATGAAAGATCATGCTTAAAAGCAAGGGCCGCAACTTATAAATTTTACGGTAAAATATTTTATGGTACATGTAATATAGTAATGATATCCGTTTGCGTGCTTTTATGATAATAAATATAACTGAAAAACAATAGTCATGTTGTCTATAAATTTTATGTCCTCAAAGTATAGGTTACAAGAACGTTCCTTGAAATTGACTCTGCTTTTTATAGCTTTAGTTGTGTCGTAATACTGACAAACATTAGCACTCATTTGATAATAATAACTAAATGAGATCTATTAGATGTTTAAATTAAATTTTTTGAACAATTCATGATTAAAAAAAATTGCATCTCTAATGCGAAATACCTACATGTTATATAGGTAAGTATTTCGTTTATTTGTTATATTTGTATTCAAAGGTCCACTTCAGAAAATCTACTGGGTATAATTTAACTGATATTAAGGACATACTTGCCCAACAAGAGGTAGATTATATCCAATCAGTAGTATTTAATTATCCCCAGTTGTCAATATAATAATAGCTAAAACGAGGTGTATAAACGTCGTTTAAGCTTTTTGAGTCAACTGAAACACCATCAGCTTTATCTAAGGCAAAGAAGTCCACAAGAATAAGTTTCTTATCAATAACCCATGACCTGTACTATCTCATTGTATTATATATTGAGCAATTTCATAATACTGTCTTGCAAAGTAATACGACTTTTAAACTCACTATAACTACATAGTATAAAACAAGTCGCTTTCTCTCTCCATATGTCCCTATGTATCCTTAAATCTATAACAGTGCTACTTATAAACAAGGTTTAGCGTCAGAGTAAGTTTACGCTAAAATTGCAATTTTAGTATTAGTCCATATTCATATTACACAGAAAATAAGCAAATCTACTACCTACTAGGAGCAAATATTACTCCCCTAGAACCTTGTACTAGGTTAACCTTTGTTAAGTCTCTGTTTAATAATATGGATTTTGACTAATACGAAGAGCAGTCTCAGCCTAAATTTACTCCAACGCTAAACCTTGTTTATAAGTAGCACTGTTATACTAAGCAACGGATTTTGATGCGGTTTTTTTTTCATAGATAGGGTGATTCAAAAGGAAGGTTTTATGTATATTACAAGACCACGCGGGCTAAGCCGCTGGCGGAAAGCTAGTAAACAATAAAAAGGCAATCAGATATACAGACATCGTACGGACACGGTTGTCATTTTCCACCCAAAAGTTCCACTTAATAGGTTTATAGAATAGTTCCTCTAACTAATACATACGTTATTTGAAAATGGAACATGTACTACCTGAAGAAGTCGTTTCTGCAGAACAATTTGTTGTCTCTCGAGTAGCACTTGTCTGCGAGCGGCGCGCGGCAGTCGGCACATCGTACACAGGCCGCGTGCCACGCGCGCTCGAGCACGTGCAACAGGAACTTATCCAGTATCGGCTTCTCGCAGCCGGCGCACGCCATCGCGCCGCCTGCTTCGCCACGTCCTGTGAACGAAGAATTCTTTTAATCAACATATGCTTCTTGAACATTTTCGATGAAGATAATTAAAAGCTTAGAAAGTCTTATGTGGTCAAGGATCACCTTTTAATTTGGATGGTTGCTAGATTTCAACATAGATACTTTAGCTACATAGGTTGAGATCAGAGGCCTAATTTGTGTAATTTTGAAATCGACCGCAATCCCTTCCAATTTGATATTTGAAAGATATTCACGAAATTCACGCTACGACTATTTGACATGTGATAGCAATTGCGATCGTGTATTTTTTTGAAAGCTTATGAATGAACGATATCGCTAACTTAACTTCAATTGGAATTTCCTAAAGCAAGCGTTAGAAGTAAATATTATTTTAAGTTACCAAGTTTTTATCAAGTTTCTTGATCATTAAAATCATTGTTCCAAAATAGATTACGACTTTAAAAGTTACATTATTTAATTCTAAAAAGGGATTGTGATAGATTTTGAAATAGACGATTAGGCTACAGAGCAATATGTATGACATTGTATAATATTAATATTTAATAAAACACATAGCAACATGTCAAGTTACCAAAATATGTAAATTTTTCGCAACTGACCTTAACTTTGCTTTTAATGCATTAAAGGTTTAAAATCAAGAGAAGAAGACTTTACATTGCAATAAGTTGAGAATATTTTTTCAGCAATACTCAGAATATAATTTTTGTGGAAATTACACGACTGGTCGAAGTGAAAATAAAAAATTATCAAATTAAAAAACGATACGTCAAGAGAGCCCGCGTAAGTCGTGGTCATCTAAAGAGTTAATCAAAGCTTTCCTTTAAAAAACAATGGCCTAAACATAATAACTATTAATAATACACAACCGAAAAGTCCACTCATCATAATCCATCATTGAATGAAAATATGCTTTACTTTACATATATCATTCTGAAGCTTTTCATCTTATTCCAGTTCGACCAATTTTTTCGACAAATATTCGACGTCTACATGTCCATGTGGGTTTTGATTGTCTATTATGACAGTGCAAACTTATTTCCTCATTTTTTTTCTAATATTTATTATCTCGTATTCTTCATAATATATATTGATATAGAACAAGATGGATAAAAAATATGTTTTTTTTTTAATTCTTTCTGTCATTTTTAGCTTGCTACGTTTAAGTACGACGTTTAATATTTTGACATGTCACATAGAAGTACCACAATACAACGTTGATAACATATATCCCGCAAACGTATTAAACTGACTAATAATGAATTCAACTTTCTGTTAAGTGACCTCTTTTGATAGTAATTTTATACACCAAAAATATGGCACATCTGTGGAATAACTATATAGACTCCATACTAAAAAAAACCGACCATTTTGATTTTATTCATAATACGAACAACAGTGCGACTGGAAACTGTGCATTATTAGTACATAATATACTTCCAGTGGTATTGCTTTTCTCATAAAGTTGGTAGCAATGAACAAGTACAAACATAATGGGATTGAGTTTTATGATCGATAAAGCTTAGCTAGAGTAAAATTTTATTTGCTAAGCTATGTTCTTATACGAGAAACGTAACAAAAACACGTTTAGTGAAAAATATAAAATCGGCGTTGCCATAATTCAAATAAAAATATAGTACTAACAGATTTATTCGTAATTTTTTTACTGGCCGAAAAATTATGACAGCCACGTATGTCAACTGAAACCTTTTTAACAATCCGTTGTAGTTTTTTTTTATTCGACGCACACGTTTTGTACTTATGACATTTATTGGCTAAATTTATGAAGGTCGCCGCGGCAGTTTGAGTTTAATATTCCATATTCAAATCAGAATGTCCGATTGGTCGCGCGCCATTTCAGTTCGGTTCGTTCAAAAATCGGTCTGTGACGACGATTTACTGTGGTTATGGGTATGCAGTGGTGCGTGTGATTTTTTTTTTAAGTTCACCGTTGTCACGGTGTTTAGGGCTGTTTGATTTCGAACTAAAAATAATGAACTGACACTGGTATCTCTTTTAAAGTCAGAGACAAATAAATTTCTTGGAAGTTGTTGAGCTCACTTATTGGAGATATGACTCATATACTTACTACTACATTTGTAAAATATTCCTTTATTATAATCCCGATACGTTTAGTTAGCAATGTCCTTTAAAACTGCCCTATATGAGGATATGCTCAATTTACTTGCAAATCAGACATTGTGTGCAAACGATCAATATTCATTCAAGTTCAATGCTACTTTCACGATTACTTATCGCTTATTTTGTCCAAGCTATAATTTCATTTAATGGTATATAATTTAATTGTCAGACACTAATAACAGATTCAAAATAAAAACATGAAATGCATCATCGTAGGTAGTAAAAATCGACTTGGGAAAACTCTAAAAGGGCTTCCTATTTGAGATCGAAATTTGTTACTTCTATTTTTATTACACGATTGGTTGAAAGCTCTATACGTAAGATTCGTTTGTGTATTATAACGTCAGTCCTAGAAACGCAATCCCTAATTTAGTTCTATATCTAACAGGTTAGCGAGGCCTATTTAACAACATTATATCCATAAGAAATAAAAGACAATGCTGAAAATTTAACGATCTCAGAACACACGTGTAAACCACCTTTTATTTTATATAGAAAACGTCCATAATGTTTTTTTTTACAAACAAAAGCAACATCATATCGGTACTATATCTAAGTGTACACAAAAGTGTACATTCAATTCATTCGTTTGGTTTTAATCCTAGAGGCTAATCCTATTTATAGTTTACATTTCTCACTTTAGGTTGAGCGAAAAAAGTACGGCGGCTTAACATCGATTTTTAACAAATATAATGGCTGAAAACACTACCTACATAATTCTAAAGTACCTGCCTGGTGTATTATTTTTTTATCCTAGTTTTTGTTAATGGATTAAATTGTTCTACGAAACAGATTTTCTATAGACATCCAGAGATTTCTTTCCAGAGAGTATAACTTGTGTTAAGGTTACTTGAAATTATAACTGTACCTACAAAATTTCTTTCGTTTTTATTTATTAACCAGATTATTATATTGATTCCCGTCGGTCGTTTCGCCTGCGAGGGCTTATATTAAATATAAATTATAAAAATATATACATAAGTTTGTTTAATACTATGTAGAGACTGCCGGGTAGGTAAGAGAGAAGTAGGTTAAATTTAAACAAATTTTCAAGTATGTAATAATATCTATGATTTTTATAAACAAACATAAGTATATTATGTTATCTTGTATAATAAAGAGGAAAGATTTGATTATTTGTTTTCAAAGAATAAGCTTCAAAACTCAAGGATGGGCTCATAACTTTGCACAAAATAACGAATATTTGTAAGTTTCCTTTATATTACTTACTGACATTCCTTCTCTTTATTTACTTTTTTAACTTATTTTTTATCCTACTTCAAATTTTGCATTCACTTTGTTTTTTATATCCATGAATTTAGTACGGGAAATGAAATGTCAATGAGGAAGTACATAAAAAAAAGGAAGCACTAAAAAGCACCTCACTAGATGGCGACTCTACCAAAAGTTGATTTTTGCAGGAAACGAATGGACCAAAGATAGTCATTTCCGTTCCTTTTTAACTATCATAAAATAAAAAAAAATTGAAAATTGCAAAGTTCGACACAGATATCAAATACAAAAAAGTACAAATAGAATATGAGTTGTTCATTGAGTTTTGAAAATTAATTTACATTTATACATGTAACAAAACCGGAAAGGTTGTCATGTACAAATCAAGAAAGTACCGTAGCGACATCTAGTTTGATTTTGGGAACTATTTTTTTTAAATACTTTCCCATAAAAAAAAACAAATGCGTGACAGACGTGTTCGAAGATGGTAGCGCTCCAATATACATTTTTTTAAAGTATAGACGTCTTGTAAGTTTTTTAAATCTAAAGATATATTCTAGATATACCTGAGTAATTTTGTTTAGTTTTAAAAACTTCACACCCAACAAATTCAAAAGTAGTTATTTTAAAAATAAAAAATATTTTTATTTATAATATTATTTGCAAAACTTTGCATTCAATTTTTAAATCACTCACTATTTAAAAGAAGTCACCATTTCAGATTCATATAACACCGACTTTTTAGAGACAATATTAGCATTTGTGTCTTTAAATTTATTCGATCAAATAGTTTGGAAGAAAATTGGTTATCACAGACGGACAGAAAGCTCTATATGCCAAAATCGCCTTGGGCCCATGTGGTAACTCTAATCTTCTCGATTATTATTACACTATTTCTACATCGCGGTAAAAGCTGTGCCAATAAAATGTATTTTAATCTGCAAACTCGTGTTTGTCATCCAATTACTTACTGCAAACCGCTGAAACTATTTAAGTTTGTTATCCGGGCCGTCTAATAAGTAAAAGATGGCTATTAACTGACCGCATGTCAGGTGCTCTGTTACAATATATGTAATATAAGCAGGAGTAGGTATTAACATTTCATATAATGTCAGACTGCTTAATGGCATTATTGAATTAATTTTATCGATTCTATATGAAGAGTACGATGTTTATATGTAATTTTTATACTGGTTGAATTTAAAAGATCAATGTCCCCTTATTTTATAGACAGAAATATAAATATATTATTGTTTCGAATGTTCACATAATACGAACGCGAACAATCAGTCTTCCTAAACACAAAGATGTTTACTTACACTCGTATATATATAGACATATATTTAGAGAATATATAATAACTTAAGTAATTTTTTTTTTTGCCAAATAAACCAGAATTTTAATGAAGTAAGAACATTTTTATAATAATATTTTTATTTCACAATAAACACAAAACTTTTTACACGATTATGGCACAATCAAAGCTTACATTAGTAGCTGCTGGTTTTTAAGAAAGAAAACTCTATGCGTTAAGTTGGTACCAGCTTTACTTCCACAGCACAATATTATTAAATTACCTCAATAAATTAACAAAAACTGTTAATAGTTAGAACACTATTATTCATCATCATCAGCCCTTTTACGTCCCCACTGCAGATGCTCAGGTCTTTTTTATGGATGATTAAAGAGGATGGGCTATGCTATGACCCCAACGCTGGCTCAATGCGGATTGAGGGTATTGAGGACTGCAAATGCAGCCGGGACCAACGGCTTAATGTGCCTTCCGAAGCACGAATTAGCTGGTAATAATATTATTTCGGTCACCCATCCCGTGACCGACCCTTGCGAAAGTTGCTTAACAACAACGATCGCGGGTCGCGGATCTTATCCACCGCGCCACTCAGCTATGTTTCAATATTATTATTAGTTCTTATTTTTTCATTCAAATTCTCCTGCATTTGTTAAAAATATTTGTATAAATAACTTATGACATTTTCTCAGGTAATTACTTCCCTTAACCATAGATACGAGTGTAAGACTAAGATTTAAGAAATTTAAGTGTAAGTGAACACACTTAGGCTGACGTCTACGTGAACATTGAATCTGTAAAGGTCTTAAAATGATCAAATACAAACGCATGTTGATCCATTACTTAGTTTTATTTCATGTTTTGTTAGCGACGCGAGTATACAACGTAATTTAAAAATAAAATATGTAACAAAGTTTGCATAAAATGAGTTCAAACTACAATCCACGTCTTTTTTATTTTTTTTAGTTGTCAATTGTGTAGTCCATTTTATAGTGTGAATATATTTTCCCTTCAAGGATTATGTGCGTCGTTTTGTTTGAAAATTCGAACTTTCATTTCTACAAGGCCTGCGACAACAACACTAGTTGTTGATATCTGATGCGCGTGAAAATATAAGGTATCAGAACATTACATGACTTACATTGTTTTTAAGGTTAAAATAGGACAGGAATGGCGTTTATATTTTTATATCTAATATTTTAAAATCATAGTTAATTCATATTTAAATTTAAGGTATTTAAATTTAAAATCCATCCAATAGTTTCAGAGCTTATTCGATGCGAACAAACGAATAGTAACATTTTTCCTCTTTATAATATTAGTTTCATTACAGATTTAATAGACTTCTAATAAAGAAAAAATTGCTTCTTATTAGGCACAAACAATAAACGGCACGCGTCTATTGTAATTTTATAGCCGTTACAAAGATTATAGAAGCAAACGACTTTTAACACTTATTTAACGATTGTTTGTCAGACAAGGAGATGAAAACTTTTTTGTGATATTTTTTTAAATTCGTAATTCTGTTCAAATATTCATTCATCTCACTGGCCGTTTAAGTTTGTTTTTCTGCCAGTGTGTTAAAGCCCATTACTCATTTCGAAGAAGAAAAAGAACAAGAGATATTTTATCAGATAATAGTTGACTCTCTATCTTTGATGTTATATTTGATTTGAAAAGATACATATCTGATTAATTTTTTTAATAAAAATATTGATTTCTTGAGTTTTTTGAATGTATTAAATATTGTTTTTTTAAATGAGACACAAATATTGATGACAATAAAAACAAAGCTTTGTTAATTATAAAACTCCATCTCCATGTTAGGACGAATTATGTAATTTTAAATCAATTAAAACAAGCTCTAGCATGACACATATGAAAGTATCTCGGCATCTCATTCTGAATATTTTTGCACAAATTATGAAACCATCGGGTTTTTTTTCAACGAATAATAAAAAGCGTCATAATTTAATAACCGTACAGTGTGACATAGACAATAATTTACGCATGCGAAATTGTGGTACAATAATATTCAATAAACTCAAATATGATTATAGATACCAATTATTTCTTTAAAATTCCTACAAAGTAGCTTTTGGTTTATCTATTTGTAATAGACTTCTACCTTTTTTTTTATATACGTTTTTTTATACACTATGACGGTTTAAAAGTACTTGCCAGACGTTCCGTATTACCCGGGATGAAACTGATAAAAATTACCTATAATATAAGTGAATCGATACTAAGAAAAGTATAAGTGTCTTGGAATAAATTAAACAGAAATTCCGCATGTTTTGATGACAATCAGATTTTGTCCTTAATAGACTGAAAATATCTAGAAGACTTAGATGTCATCGAAAACTAACTCTATTAACTTATGTGAGCGATAAAACATTGGTATTATTAAATGTACAAATTATTTTTAACCCAAGATCAATTGTACCTACTTATATATTTTGTTTATTCCTGATAAAACAATATTTTTACAAGCATGAATAACTACATTTTAAAAACGATTTTTACGTTTTGTTTATGGTTTTAACAGAATAATAATTACTAAATTACTTCATAAATATTTAAATTAACATGTTTCAATATCAAGACATTAAAATCTTTAATGTAAAATATGTCTCAAAGTATTATAAACATTATGTTGTTATAATCTGATCTTGTATTCAGTTAGGCCTAAGCGCAAAACTAACCTAACTCAAGTTTTAAAATTTTATTATTTTGTGTCAAAAATAGTTATAAATATTATTGTTGGCATTATTTATCTATAACATTAAACGTTTGTCATTTCTCTGTTTATAATAGTACTTACATATCTAGTAGATACCTATTTTACTATTAAGTATATAATACTTAGGTCATATATTGCATACTTAGGTATTATTTTAATATATTTACCTATCTATTTGCTCCTTGTATGTTTTTATCAACGCAAATTACCTAAATCTTTCTTCATTAAATCCACTCTCTCTTCTTTAATTATGATTACTTACTTAAAGTTAATAAACTAATACTATACAGTCAATATTGTGCCAAAGAATAACAGATATAGTTTTTCAGAAACTTCTAGCCATTTCGATGTCAATAAAGAAGTAAGTGTAAGATAAAATAATTATAAAAAGAAAACAAAACAACAAAATAACCTCCATAGGTCCGCATCATCAAGCACATTCACAGTTCCACGGAACCATAGACAAAGGGTCTCTATCACAGGACACTAACTTTTACCAATGTGGTGCTGGTGGAAGGGGGCATGGGCCCCCCGTCCTGCAGCAAGGAAACCCGCCACTTCGGCACCCTACACGGCACTTCACTTGACACACACGGCTCGCGAGCGCGACGCAACCACCACGCGCGAACACCAAACGCGTACTACCTAAAAACGGTGCACTTTTCACACGCCAAACCACGACCGATAAGGACCGGTCAATGTAAATTCAACGTGAACGACAGAGACAGAAATAGTAGCGTATGGAAACGGGCGTGGCTCCGGTGAGCAGCCACTAGGACACGAGGGGTGGCGCCTGCGGTGTATTCTTTTTTTCTTAATTTTTTTTTTCGTGCGTGTTTCTGTGCGGTAGTGGGATTTCATTTTGTGGGACACGTGCGGTGTTCGCAGTAAATTTAAATTGGCTTGCCGGTAGATCGGCTGGTAGCTGAAGATAATTATAGAGCCTGGATTTTTCGGTTGCCTCTCTACTCTAGGCTGGTCGTCTTGTTTTATGGTTCTCGACAGCGCGAGGATGTTTTGACTGGGGGCGTGCGCTGTGTTTATGTAGAGTCACCCGCCTTTGAATCGTACTTTTCATTTTCTTTTATAGCAGTGATAAGGTGCCTGTTGTTAGAATTTGCGTTTGTGGTAGATAATTGCTTTTATGAGTGTGGTTGTACGTGTTTTTTTTATGAATCCCGCTAGTAATTGTCACTTATGTATATCTACTAGCATTTTTTTTTGTGACACCTCGAGAACTCGACACTTTTTTGGGCGTAGCGTTATTATTTATTGATGTAAAAAACGAACGTGTGTTAAGTTAACCTTATTAAAAACGTAATACTTACCAAAATAGTATCATACTTGTAACATAAATATTATGGTATATTTACACACGACATACATACCTACTCGCCTACATGAATTTTTCTGAAGAAAAAAAAAACATTTTATACGATTATTGGCTTATTGGCAATTTTTTGAAAAATCAATCCGACGTCAATTCAATTTATAGTTTTTACATAAGTTTCAAACTTACTACCTACTTTATGTTCGATGTTTCTATGTTTAAAGTACCTACTTACAAACCAACTCGTGCATTAAACGTAAAATTTATCTGTTTCGGCGATATGCAACTCTCTTCCAATATGGTCCATTCATACTTCACTATGTACTTTACCTACACTACCTATAATACCTATCTAGTTAATATTAAAGTATGATGTATCTTGAAGAATAATGCTAAAAGTTCATTCGTCCTGTGAGATTGCTCCTAGTGAATTTTGAACATCAATACTTATAGCATTGTAAATGCAAAATTTTTAAATAGCTGTTTTAATATAATACTTATAGCAGTACATTTACTTAAAAGTTACATTACAATTAGGTACTTACCTAATCCAAATTTCTGTAATAAATTTTGAATATAACTATGGGTTTTAGTTTAAGTCTAGCCTAGTCTTATTATTAGTCGATAAATTTGTAGATTGCTTACTGGCAGTTTTAAAGCGAAATGTATAAAAATAGAAATTGAAAAAAAAATCTTGTTTAACATTCGATTTCGAAACAGATAAGATTCGTTAAGTGCGAAGTAATAGAATAAGAATAAAGGTGTGGGGGCACAAAGTTTTAATATTATATTTTTATTTATCGAAGGTAAACCTACTTAATCTATTGCAGCGCTCATGATGGTCAAAAGTAGTAATAATTTAGTCTGTCACCATCATTGGTAGGTATTTATACTAATATCATAAAGAGGAAAGGTTTGATTGTATAATTATATATTGAGACAGGATTTTACGAAATTCGACCCTTAAGGGGGTTCTGGACTTAATACTAGATCACGCGGGCGAAGGCGATGGCGGAAGGCTATAGTAACAAGTAACTAGCCTTCCGCCACTAAAATATACTAAAACGCATTGTGTAAGTAATATAATAGATTCCAGGGTACAGACAGCACGAGCATATTTGTTTCATACTATGTAATAGATAAGGCAAAATAACAAATATCATTGTATCTAGGTTCTTCATCGAAATCAATCGCGTCATTCGTTAGGGTATATAGGTAATTAATTATGTCTCCAGAGATCCCCGCTATAATTACGCAAAGAGCATTCCTCTATAATCAGGGCCGGGTTAACCACGTAGCAAAAGTAGCAAATGCTACTCGTGTTTGGGGGCCCCGCGCAATTGGAAGCCTCGCTATGGTTCAGAGCCAATTAATAGATTTTTCAAGTCAGTGCTAATTAATACAAGAAATAAAATAAGCCACGCTTCTGACTAGTCATATTTTTAAATATGAACATAAACTGACAAATAAAACTCAAGTCTCAGATTAGTTGTGATGTGTTATTTGGAAAGCAAAGTTGGCTATTTCGGCACTGGCTATAATGTCACATATATTGCCTGGAAGCTCCACAGTCACATGCCGACGAGTCATTCCATTTTAATATATGCTTATATTTTGCTCATCTAGTAAAGTTTTGTTAACTCAAAGGGTTATGTTATGCTTCAAATCACTATAGTTCCTACCAAAAGAAACGTGGTCAAAGTATATTTGTCGTACCTATAAAACCTATTGCGTAGTATCTTCGCGTATTAGGATCCAGAACCTAGCAAAGAGAGCACCTGACACAGTCCTCACATTGTCTACTTACATAAAAGTTTTGAATATTTCATAAAAGTTTTGAAATCTCTTACAGTATAAACAGCAAAAGATTGCATTGATTTCTTTAAATTCATACAACATATTGTGTTTTTGGGAAAAGCTTGATTTCCTTTAGAAATATCCTAAGATTTCATCATATTTTGAAATTTAGTTTTAATTTTTTTTTAAAACAAAGTCCGCGAGTTTATCTTTTAAAACCAATACACTAGCTGCTTCTAGATCCTAAGCATTCTATAAAATAGTAATATGAAAAACAAACTTGTCAAAATAGCTGACAATAGAAATTTATTAGGCAACAATTATGTTAAAAGTTTCTAGATAAATACCTACATAAACTGATTATTAAAGGTTTCTATTTAAATAAAAACCTATGAACCTATGTATGCAATTGACTTAACGAAAGTTGATTTTAAATAAGGGTGTTAGTTGATAGAGACGGCTCGGTGACATAGAAATTAATTTAGATACCCACTTTGTTGAAAGACTAAATCAAGTACTGTGAATTTTATAAACTTATTTCCAGTATGGGGACCTAAGGTCAGTCTTAAGTCATCCTTCCATCTCTTTTTTTGGCGACCTCGGGTACTTGAATCTTGAGTCTCTTTTTAATAACACAGGGAAATGCAACCTCGAAATGGGCTCTCCGACCCAGCACCCGTCATGAAAAGGACAGGTTTAAGAGAAGCCGGCCTACCTGGTAACATCCGCTGCAAGTACCCTCGGGAAGGAACCGAGATCCGGCAAGGAGCCCGACCATCTCTAGGATACCAGATCGTCATCATTTAATTCCATTTTTCTTCTTTACTTCAAATCCACCTTTATTTGAGTTGATTGTTTCAAATTAAGATGTCAATGACCTTTATATGGAGCATGCTCCTCATCATTAGCGAATGCAATCCGGATACTTCGAAATTCGCAATTAACCGATAAATACGGAATAATAGAACCTTTTCAAATCCGATTTTTAAAACTCATTTTCTTTTATTTTTTTTTTTATTTTTTTTGGATGTGGGTTAAAACAAAATAAACCGAACTGCACATTGGCACGCTGATTCGAGCGTATCTCTATACTCCATTTCAGACACACTGAAAATTTGTACAATTACTGTTGACGGACTATCTACTTTTTTATTTTATATATTTTTATTTATTTTACTCACGTATGAACAACACGATAGTGGGTCGAGCACTTAGAATATATGATACTTGCAATGGCAAAAAAAAAATTAAACATGATGATAATACTTCCATCCGATATAGACCATGGAGACCGCTTTGACTTTTAGTACGGTTGACGCTGATGCTCTCTGAGAAGTCTGCCAATAACAGATTTATATGGAAACTCCCGCGAGCAAATAGACCACGTAAGTACTCCGTCTGCGTATTGGTAGTCAATGGAGCAGCTTCGCTTCGCGAAGATTCGCTTCACCATACTCTCTACTGTGTCATACGCGATACATATCCGCACCACCGAAGTTGCCGACGCATTATGTGTCTATGCCACCGACATTGGGTGGTCTTAACACTTCAGTATGACGCACCCGATCGGACTATCTGATTTTCGTGATGTAGGCACTTTAGGTGGAATCCATCTAGACTGCGCATGTGGTGACGGTAAAAACCACCAAAACATATATTCCTCCGCACCATGCATTGGAGGAATATATATTTTGTTGGTCAACTTCGTTTGAGCGGAAGACCTTGAAGGACAGCTGCCTAGATGCAGCAACGATCCTGCTGTTGATATCAAACTCAAGATAACACTTAGATGTAATTGTAAAATAGGCATGCAACAAAGGGAAACATTAATTCTAAATTTTTTTATCTTCTTCGCGCAAATGAAATATGACTCTCCCTAACCACTTGACCACGCTATTTCTAATAGGGTAGCCTGGGTACTGTTGTAACAGAGTGCGGTTGTAACGAGCAAAGAGGGAAGGGCACGCGAGTAACAAGTCTGGGCACGATCGCCAATGTAGAGTCACCTTTCGCGCGGTAATAACGCTTACAAGGAGGCCCCTTGTGTTCTGTCAACCAAAAGTAAGTATTTCTGGGGTATTTCTTTATGATAAAGCTTAAATATTAATATAATTATCGTATTTCGAAATGTTCTTATGTAATCATCGTATTTTGAAGATTATAATTAGCTCATTCTTTTTTGGTATATGTTATGCTACCTCGTCCTTTTGATAGACTTATTATCAAAATGGGAGGGTGGGGACGGTTGTAACGATTTTCATGGGGATGGTTGTAACATTAATTTTATAATATTTTTGTATTGTGGATGCCTAGGAAACGCATAAGAACGACTTCGGGAGGTGGAAGTGACATTTTGGCGTACAAGAACGCTTACGATGAAGTTAAATTAGGGGCTTCTTTAAAGCAAGCTGCAGAGAAGCACGGCGTTAACTATGTATCTCTTTTGAGATACAAGCGAAAGCCGTATGCAGTTAATTAAGATAACCAAGAATAGGTTACAAATGTTAGCATGGGATAAGTAGCTCATAATAGAGTTTTTAGGGAATATCAAGAGCGTTAGGTATTATAGCCTTCTTTACCTAGAGACGTATTCTGCTACTCGATCTGGAGAGAGTTGGATTCAGTGTCAAGAAGGCTGCAAACAATGGTCTCGCGTAGTTTGTACTCCCATCAGTATATATGCCATAATTGCTATGAGTTTGATTTAATATAGAAAAAAACTATTGTATAACCTCAGATATTGTTGACTAACTTTGATATTTGAAAATACTATTTAAATGTGCCTTAAATGTTCTTATGTTGTATTTAGTGCATTTTGTTATTTTTTAAGAAATAATCTGATTTATTACGTGGGATTTTTATATTATTTTTTGGCGTTACAACTGCCCCCCATAGGTGTTACAACCACCCCTGGTGTGGGGTCGATGGTAAAAATCTCACACACTCTTTAAAACGGTTTATTCCTGCTAAGTTGTCTTACCTAAGGTATATTTATGATATTTGATTTTCGGTTTCATTAAAACATCTTAAATCACAAAAAATCGAAAAAATCGGATTATCCATATTTAAATAGGACGAAAAACTCGAAAACAGGATTTTGCTCTTCATAACTCTCTGGCGTCTTACAAGTTATTTTCTATGTTGTTTGTTCAAGCACAGGTTTCGTAGCCATTGCGATGCAGGGGAGGATATATCAGATGTCCTTCTCTTGAATGCCTAGTTTCTTTCTTTTCATGATTTTCTCTGTAGCTGCACTTAAAATGTATTCTTTTGTTATTGCTTCACATTGAAACTTTACATCTGGATCTCCGAATAAGCTATTACTGCTCTGGCACCCCAATATAGGGAATCTCCCGGCGCGGGTAAAGACGGACCTGGCTGCATCATTCGCGGGTTGTTCGCGAAATTCCTTCCTAGAAACCGGCAAGTTTAATAGTAATAGAAGTACATTTAACTTTTTTGTAATATAAAAGAGAGAGGAAATTGACGAGTTTCTTACCAGTTCTTCTCAATAAAAAGATTTGCGAACCGATGGCACAGCTTTCAAATTTCACAAATGCTTGAAACATATTCCTTTGGGTCTGAGTAAACGCACTAAACCATGTGTGTGGGACTCGGCCCTTAACGGTCCAACCTAGTGGTAAGATCACTGAGCAGCTCCGAGGGCGGGGCATGGCCGACCCGTCAATATAGGCAAACTAGCCAACTACTAGGCACTCGTATTTAGGAGGCAGCATCTTAAAAAGAGGAGTTCAATGGCGCAGTGGTTAGCGCGCTCGGTCTGCGATACAGTTGTGAAGCAATTTCATAATGGCCGGTCATAGGATGGGCGACTAAAATATTTTACCTCCATCTCTTTAGTTCGAATGGCAAGTTAAGCCATTGGTCCCGGCAGCATCTGCAGTCGTTAATACCCACCAATCCGCACTGGGCCCGCGTGGTGGATCATGGACCATTCTCCCTAGTCCACCTGATTTCATCCATTGGGAAGACCTGAGCCCCAGCAGTAGGTACATTAAAAATACTTTTGCTTTTTGAACTTTTTTTCAAACCTAAGGAGTTTCTTTTGAGATTGGTAAAATTAAATTATTTTGTTGGGATTATGTTTATTTAAATTACATTAGTATTTTATTTTGTTATGATTATTTTATAAGCGAAGTTTCAATGTTTTTTTCTTTGGGCCAAAGTTCCTGTGTTTTTTCCATGTCGCAAAGTTTCATTGAGCCGGCGCTGGAGACTTAAAATCTCTAGTTATGCCCTCAATTGGGAGTTGCACACGGGCACCCAGACGTGGTCATTAGATACCTACTTCTTATTTGGTCTGAGTCGGCAATCTAGATTGTTTCAAGCACATTCTTATAGGCCCTAGAGGAATTTTACTTATTTTCAATGAAACATTTCCCGACACCACCAGTGTGAAAACAATGCCCGGCACAATGTCAACTTTTACATTAAGTATTACGTATCAGATTTCTATGCATAAATAATACTTTGAAAATTTGGTAAGTAAGTATTCGTACTTTGTACTCATTTTTACCAAAATAACCGGAGCGTCTTGCACACTCGATTTTAACATTTCCCTAAATAGTCAAAACTTTGGTTTGATACTATATATAAAGTGTAATATTATTATATGCCAGTACTTAGTGAAGTGGCTTTGTTAAGTATACTGAACAACTTTTACTATGGGAGCAACACTGAATTCACGAATAAATAATCAGCTGTTTCATACAACATTTTAATACCTAAAATCGTTGACAATATCAAACAGTTGATTATTTCGTGTTGCTCCCTTAGATAATATTACACCTTATATTTTTATTAAAATAAAGAGGGAAGATTTGTTTGTTTACATTGAATAGGCTCCGAAACTGCTGGACCGATTTTAAAAAAAACCTTTCACGCGTGGGAAACTACAAATGAAATTAAATATCTTTAAAGTGCTAATTACATTACAAGCGCTATTATAAAAATTATTAGTTACGCCGGCGAAATCACGAGAACACGTTCAATTTATACATTAGCAGGAAGAGGCAGGCAGTAATGTACTACTAACGCCATCTCTTATATCCTATTGAAAATACAAGCCTTCTTCATACTTTAATAAGCATCGATGAAAGGTAAGCGCAGATGTTGTGAGTAATAATAGTAAGTTATAAGTTCAACAGATGGCGCATACACTATTTTATTCTGAAAATTGATTATCACCGATAACAGCTCCTCCTAAAATAACTAAACCGTGAACTTTTGGCGGTGTAGATACTATAACTAATAGAAGATATAAAAACGCTTTTTATTTTTTCAAAAACTATTTTAATCATTTTATACCAGTGGTAAAGAACGAAACATGTAGAATATTCTTATTATATTTCATCCTGTACTACCTTTTCCTAAATATATTGACTATCACTTTTGTTACAAAACATTATCTACTGATTTTTTCGACAGTATTTACTGATTTTTTTTTTTACATTCAAAATCATACAATTCTACCTTTAAAATGGATTTTTAAAATCAGCCTTGCGTTTCTGTAAAAATTCAAAGCAGAATTCACTCAGGTGTCCGAATTCAATTCAAAAAGCATCATCGCCTCAACCTTAAATTGGTAATGACGTTTCGTTGCATAAGTGAAGTGAGTTCCGAAATGACATAGGAATATAATATCTGAGACGTGTACAGTCAATAAATTTTGTTTTGTATTTTATTAAAATAAACGGAATCAGTAGAAATTCTACACAAAATTACGTAAATTCGGAAATTTTTACAGAATCGCAGAGCAGTATTGATTTCATTACGTATCCTTCTAAACTAGATGGTATATTTAGAGAATACATTCAATTTTCCACCTTATTTCATGAATTTTAAATAACTAGACTTCATAATTGATTCTTGAAAAATATATTATACATTTGACTAAATATACTACGTCTTTACCTTATTTTTAAATAAGAAAGTTACATATTTTTAGTCTATGGTAATACGTATAAGAAGTAATACTTTTATTACAATAGGCACTTAGCGTATCTAAAAAAATGTTACTACAAAAATATTTTAAAAGTACAGGAATATCAATTTTATTAGCTTACAATACCGCATATTTCTTAAAGCTCATGATAAACTTACTTATAAGGTACTGACAACAAGACATTTGGATAATATAAAAAACCGATAAACAGTAATTCATATACAAAACTGTCATATTTCTCTGCTTGAATTTATACTTATTCCTTTGAGGTAAGGGTACAAAACGAACTGCTGAAAGGCATATTCTGATAATTTGCAAAGCGACCGCCTAGCACTCTAGCCTTCATTCTAGCGACAGGATACATCTCAGCGATGTTATACAGATATTTCGTTTCATGTAGTAACATGTATTAAAACTGAGATGTACTACTTTGACGTGTCGTTTAGTAGCAAAATTAGGGATAAATTACTAAGTTGGTAACACTGCTATCATTCATAATTATCATCCGTTCGTCGTTATTAAAGTACATGTCAAAGTAGTAAAATGAAACGAAATATCGCCATAACAGCGATAAGATATTTTATCCTATGGATAGAGAGTTATAAGGTTCTTAAAGAATATTCGCTAGTTATGAATGTCTCCGCTAGTCGTTGGGCAATCAGAGACCTTTTTGAAAAACGAAAGTACATTGGAAGGAGTATGCCATCCACATTTCGACTAATATGCTATATAAGTTTATGGCAAAAGACTTTTTGTGAAATGAAGTTTATATTGGTAAATAAAACTGGTGCCACAAAGGAAGGCATCCGACACTTCAATATATAGACGTTTTATATATTCCACTTATATACTAATTGGCTATTGAACTGGTTTGGGAAAAGTATTTTAAAACTAATATGATCGAACATATTAAACTACCCGCAGGCCTATTTGCCAACTCAAAGGGCAACCTAAAATCGTAATCACCGAAAAAAGTGAGCAACTTCAATGTGTCAAAATCGTATTTTCTATCAACGGTTCACAATTCTGAAGTGTCAATATCGGCGATCTCCACTGAACTCCATTTTGACACTTGATCTTGTATCAATAAACTGTTATTTCGTAAGCATCAAGGACCATGAATTTGAAATTCAACGAGTGATTTCAACAAAATAAAAAAAAATAGTAACTGGAAAGAGATTAGAGATTTATAATAAATGAGTTACAGAATATCAAAACCGTACGATGAGCGCTTGTCCACAGAACTCTGTGAATAATTTATTCCGGTTGTCCTGAAAAATTATCAGAGACACAGAAAAAGGGGCCAGATTTATTTTTCTTCAAAAAGTGTTAAAATATTTTTTATTGGTTAATTCGCAAAAAGGCGATATTTAGATTACTGAAATGTGACGTTACACGATGTTCTCACATGGCCACCCGCGTTTCGGTTCTAGTAATCCACAGATTATAAATAGCAAGTTAATTAAAAAAAAACTAAACACTACATAGTTTCAATAATGGGCGGCCATGATGGAGCATCTTATGTCGTCACATTTCAATAAACTAAACGTCAACAGTGAGAGTACAACCAGTACTGTTTATTGAAATATAACGTCACGACTCGAAACGTCACGCGACTGATTGTTTTCGCGGTACAATTAAAATCGATATTTTTTGAGAAAAATAATTCTGATAGCGTTTAAACATGACCATATGAAAGATTTAAATTACTTCTTAATGAAAAATGCTAAAAAAACACTTTGTCCCTGGCACTCTGAGATAGCACTCGAACCTATGACCCTTCGCAATCCGGGCGACTGCTCTAAGTCAGGATGTAACAGGACTGACGATGATATTTGGGTGCATTGCTTGAACATTGATGAAAAAAAAGCCTCTAAGGTAACGAAAAAGTAACAAGTGCTTGAAAAATTCGTCAGTCTCATTAAGTCCTGGATATTTCAGTGGTTAGAGCAGTCGCTCGGATTACGAAAGGTCATGGGTCCGAACCCCATCTCAGTGTGCCAGAGACAAAGTGGATTTATTAAGCAATAATATTTTTTTTTTTTATGCAATTGTTTAAAATGTTTTTCACAAAACATACAAGTAACTAATTGTACATTTAATTGTGTGGCTGTTTATGTCCACGCGTGTGCGCTGCCCGCTCGTTGTACGCGCGCTATCTCCCGTCGTAAGTCACGTTCGTGCGCGTGCGCATCCCTCAGTTCTTGTTCGCGCGTTTTCGCCGCCTCCAACTGCTGTTGCTGCACACGTAAACTGTTCAGCTGTGATTGCAGCGCTGTCATTGTTGAATAGGACGAGTTCTTCAACTGGAACGCGGAACGTAAGAAAAAATGTAGATTCATCATTTTATCAGCTCTCAAGTCGATAAGTTGATATATGGTTATATTGCTTAGATCCCTAATTAACTAAGTAAAAGGCGATTATATTATAGAGCTCCGAAACAACGAAGGTACCACAAAAGCCAGACCCGTGACAATATAGCAGTCTCAATTCCATGGGCTATAATATCGAGAATCAAATGTTTATATTTTTTTAAATAAAATATGAGTTTATAAATGTTAATATTTGCATAATATTGTAATAGCTAAGAGAGCTGATTTTTTTTTCCATCTGCATATGTACCTATTTAAAAGCAAATAGATGATTATGATCATTAATAAGAACTCTCATGCTAGGCCAGCAGTGCAATGTAAAAATATATCAATAATTCACAAATACGATAAGTTACCTGATTTTCTCTCTCATTACTCCTGACCTCCTGGTGGAAGCTCTCCATCTGCTCTATGATCTTCTCTCGCTCTAACACATTCGCCTTTTGTTGCGAGCGATTAGCCTCTATTTTCTCCTTCAATTGCCTATTCAAAGTAGATATGACTTCCTTCATGAGTATCGAACGAGCGTCACGTTCTTTCGCCCATAACTAAAATTAATATACATATACTAAATATAAATATATTGTGTAAGTATATCACTTCATCAACAAACGTACGAAATGGGGCGGTGCTACACACACTATATTTCAATTTGCAAGGGCGGATTCATTATTTATTGTGGGTTGATTATTTATTGATGATTTTTGTAATGCCAATGAACTAATTTAATAAAATGTACTGCTCTAACTGGATCTAGATCTGTGAATTTTGTGATGACCCTGACTTGGAGGCTAGATCCGATCTTAAAATGCATTTTAATTGAATGAATGGAGTTACGCGGTTGGATCTTATGCATACATTTACCTATATTCAATATTCATATGATATAAAAAACCAAATAAATAATAATCCGTATTAGAATCTTACCAAATACAAAACTTTCGACCATCATCATTATCATAAAAGACTGTACCTTGTCTTGCTTATCGTTTATCTGTCTCGCTTCTCCGTCGTACATGGCTTCGATGTTCTTTTGTCTCTGTCTCTCTTTCTCCCTGTACTCTTCTAGTTCACGCAGAGCCGTATCAAGGATTCGTTTATAATACGGCGACTTATCCTGTTCGTTCTTGATGTCCTAGAAAGGAAGACATTAAACTTATTTTAATTAATGAATAAACTGTTGACTAATGACAGTCAACATTCAATAGTTAAGTCTTGGCTGAGCAGGCAGCCTCGCGCGGCAAATTTAATTATTTTAGCAATCAATAATTGCGCGTCCCAAAGTAATTTACATAAGACAAAATAGTCAATATGAACACTTATTTCCACAAAAATATTATTTTATGATAATAAGCCTTATTATGTGCCCAAAACTAAGTTTAAACTTAACAGTTAAAAAACCGCTTATTCTATTCGGAGGACATGACGTCATTTGTAGGATAAACAAAAAGGTCCTATGCATTGCTATTTTTATATTTAAAGACACAAATAAATCATAAAAACGACCCTTGTAATACAGACGTAGACAGTTAACGGAAATAAATAGTTTTTTTCTGGTCATGTTTAAAAACTATAACTTAAACGTGTTAAAGAAAATGTAATTTAATTTCAGATTTTAACTTATTTTATGAATGATACTTTTATATATATACATATACAATATTTTTAAGATATATATCATGTATATCTATAAAATAAAAATATAAAAAAGATTTTGCTTTTTTTTGTTTTTGCAATACCAGCAATTTGAACCAATAACCAAATATTTATTTTAGATTATATGTGTTATAAAATCTAGACAATCAAAAGATTCAAAGATATGTTTTATAGGTATAGTAAGCTCGACCACGAAGATCGTTATGTAATTAATTATTCATACTACGTTTACTATTATTATTATTAACTCACCTTAAGAATTGCCTTTCGTATTCTAGCTAACATTTCCAGATCCAAGTCTATCTCCTTCAGAACTGAGATCACTTTCCTCTTGAGCTTGTATTTATGCAAGCCCATGTTCACAATGTTTGCGTCTCTCTCGGCCACTAGGCGTGCGTGTTCCCTTTCTCTTTCACTCGAAATAAATTGGAGCTCGTCTAATATAAGACTTTCCCTCTCTTCCATTTTTCGTAGTTCTTTTACTGCAGCCTCCTTTTCACTCAATTCTGCTATCTGTCCTTCTAAACTTTCTCGGAGCTCCTGGTGGCAATACAATTTAAAGGTTGCTATAAATATCAGTTACACAATATTTCACTTAAACATTATGAAGAAACAAGCTGACCCGACAGACGTCCTGTCTTAATTATGTCATTGAAATCAAAGTTTTTTTTTTTTTACATCATCTAAATAAATTTCATTTTATATGTATATATTAATTTATTCACTTGACATTGGCAGAATTATGGGAAATACGCAGATAAGCTATTGATAAAAAAAGAAGAATACATCTTATTTGACGATATAAGAAAGTATTTGAAGCACGCATTCTGTCAATTCTATGTCAAATGTCATAAGGTTACATTAAAAATGACTATATTATCCAGAGCAATAAGGTTAGATTAAAAATAATTTAAATATTCTTAGTTTCATATTTTCCACAGATTTCTTTTTTTATTCTTTCGTGAGAACATTCTCCTGACAATAACAAACAGAACAAAAAAGAATTACCGAAATCGGTCTAGCCGTTCACGTGTAATGGTGTGTCCAAGGGAAATAAGGAAACATTTTTATATATTATGGATTATTATTAAATTGCATTTAACTCAAAAATTGGCCATATTAAGTTGAGAGGGGATTATTTTATTTAGTGAAAATAAATACATTTATGCTAATGTTACAAAGAGAAGGCTTTCGACAGGGTTACACTGTGGTGTATGTGTAATGGTGTAATTTATGAATTAATAACAAATTTTGCACTGTCTGATTATACTCTCGAGACTTTAGGATAAATAAAACGTCAATATACGTTCTTATAACGTCAATATACAACAAGAGGCCAATGTACGAGAGGAAGGGCAGATGTCTTCTTTCGTTGACATAGAAAGAGGTGTAAGGTAAGTCCGTAACTTTTCGTCCTTACTGTTCAACGTGTATGGCGTTACAATTTTCTCTGAAACATTAAAAGATTTACCGGTAACGCTATTTTGGTAACAGATAGTATGACGGACTTGCAAGCGCTTTTCGATAGCGATTACTGTACAACAGTGCTAGATAAAAGTACGAGACCAACATCAACTCTAAGAAAACAAAGCACATAATCGTAGGTCGAACACCAGGTCCTACAGCCTCTTCTTTGACAATAAAGGGAAACATCATCGAGCGTCTCATTTGCTATAAATATCTTGGTGCCATGAGGAATGGTAATGGTGACCAAATAATGGAAATAAATAAGGTCAACAAAATATAACAACCACGTAATGCTTTCTGCAAAATGGAAAATTCCTCTGCAATCGTAGGTTAAACCTCAAATTGCGCACAAGAATTGCACAGTTACGTTCTTTTGATATTACTCTACACCGCTGAAACTTGAACTCTCACAGAAACGATAAGTAAAAAAGTAGAAGCGTATGAAATGTATATCGTAGAACATTGAAAGATATCGTGTACGAATAAGATACTTAATGAAACAGTTATACTGACGACCTACTATAAGAGGAAGCTAGAATATTTAGGATATATCACGAGAAACCCCAAATATCCTTCAAATCACAATCCAAGGGAAAATTAAAGGCAGAAGGCGATCCTGGTTCAGCAACCTTTGTCAACGGTTCCACATCAGTACTGTACCGCAATAAAAATATACACAACGTACCGCAATAAAAATATAGAACCCAAGGGATGCGTTCTAAAATTTATCAAAATCTTTTTGTTTAGGATGTGTTGAAATGCTTAATTAACGATTAACTTGTATAATGGTCTTTAATCAATTTTAAGCAGAACTTAAGAAAATATATAGTTTTCAAGTAAAATAAAATGCTCAAGAAGAAGAATGCAATGAAGCAGCAGATTTGAATTTTTAGACAGATTTTAAAGACTCTCACCCACGGGAAACTACATTATATGCCGATGACATAGGTTATAACTAACCTTAGCAAAGTCTCAGGAAAACAGCGACAAAAAAATCATAAATAAGTAAAACCTATTTGCCTTTATTTGGATTTACCTTCATTTGCAGCTCCTTCTCTTTCAACCTGTCTTCTTCTATCTTTATTTGACGGCGTAGCATTTCATCTCTTTCTTGCAATGTTTTACGTGTTTCCTCTTCTTCTTTTTTCTTCTGCATCTCTTTTTCAACAATTTGCTCCATCCTAAGAGGCAGAGTTTTCTTGAAATTCATTACATATGGTTAAACTTACGACTATTATGAATATTCAAAATTTTTGGAAATACAATATAACATTTGACGATTGAGTGAGTCGCCATATAAAAGTTCTTTTATTTACTTTATTTCTAAGCAATATATGTAATTTTGTTTAACATAATATTAAAATCTGTATAATTTAGGTATTCTATACAATACCTAGGGAATGTATAGAATACCGGGGCCATTCAGGGAATGTAATAAATATTATGGTCCATTACATACTTGCCTTAGATATTGTAACTATATAATTCCTACAGATTTTATTGAGTTTTGACTGCTGTTTGTTACATTGGGAATGTTTCTTATCACGCATAAACACACTTATATGATTAATAAACTCCGGAACTACTGGATCAGTTATAAAAGTTATAAAATGTACAGATAGAAACGTGAAATTTGATATTTCACGTTTCTATCTGTACATTTTATAACTTGGGTCTACTTGGGTCTATCTTAAAATATAGGATAGTTTCTATCTTGATTTTTGATTGATTGAATGAATATTTAATAGAAAGTAAATGCCCCCTTAATACAAACACTTCTTAAAATTACACTAAAAATGGAGAAATTACAGAAAAATGTAATGCCCAAATGCAGTTACGAATGTATTTAGCAGGGAAGAGAAATAATTAAAAAAATTAAACCGATTTGAAAAATCCTAATAAGAGAAACTACTATAAAGTGAGAAATAATAGGTACCATTAATTTTTATTTTTAATAAAATCGAAACAAATAATAAAAATATACCAACAATTTTTAAATGTCGATGCCAGCCGAGTCATTAGTAAGAAGTTAAATAGCATTATCAGAAAATATATTTTTCTCTTACCGTACATGATATTTTTCATCGACCTCGATGGCACCGACCTCAAAAAAATTGTTGGTGTCGTCCTTTTTCTCTCATTTTGCTCAAGTAAACAGATACTGTGTATTGGTCCTCAAACCTCGCCGAAAGATACAGTTCATGATGTTGTAGAGTTTATCGCACACCTAGATCTAAACTGAGACAACTCAAAAATTTAAGTGAGTTTTGACTTTGTACAATATTCAAATTCTCGGTGATCATACGCATCTATCCAACATAACAGATTCAATAAAGGTTCGGGGATGAGCCTCTAGATAACTTTAGCTTTCTTTTGTCGAATCAACAGTGGTCGCGTTCCTGCCACGTAAACAAATGTATTGTCAGACATCCACATTACTTTTTTGAGTTGTCTTAGTTTAGATCTAGGTGTGCGATATGTTTATGATGTTACACGTATGATATGTATATATATATTATATACTTCTTAATAATATATGTATATATATATTTCTAATCACTATAAAAACTGAAATCGAATACTTCAAAACAATATTGTGTTAAATGTAACATCATATGTGTAACATCATAAACATATATTCTACTTAAAACTGTATTAAATGAAAAACCCGGATATTTTCCCAATTGGGAATTTTCCTGAGCTTTTTCCGGGTAAAATTCCATCTCTAAACATATATGAATATTCTGACGAAATTACGTAGAAACACCTCGAATTAATAACCATCCTTTTTTGAAGTCGGTTATAAAAGTGTATGTTCTTTGTAGCTAATTCAGAGTAGCTACATTCAAAAAATAAAAAGTTGAAATATGACATGTGTCATACATATTAAAGTGTTGGAAAAATAATAATATAAATTGAAAAAAAAAGCAAACCTTACTTTTCATTTGTTTTATTGTATTATAGAGTTATGTAAATCAACTAATGCACAGACTATTACAATAATTACAAATTTTTAACAAATTTGAAAATGTATAAATTTTAAATATACCTTGCTTAAATCACCATCATGGTTCATTTAAAAAAATTTGTTTCAAACAAAATTAATAAATTATGATCGGGAATATTTAATTTCTATTTTATTAAATCAATCAAATAGTAACAGAAATTTTGAACACCAATATAAAATCAAGGCTTTTCCTCTATTTAATAACTGTATAAATTACAGTATCTGAAGTTTTAATAATTATATTCTTCAAACAAATCAATAGAAAGAAAACAAAATAATTTGTAAAAAATGGACAATACCAATAAATACTGCTTATGTAGAATGACAAATTTGAGAAACACTGTGTTCACACCCATCATCACTTTTCTCAGGTCCATGGTGAGATATTATATGGGTGCACCCAAGAAAAGTGACATTTATGAGAAGAACAAACATATGAATTTGTTGTTCAATGTGTGCTGTTGCTTGGTGGTTCCAGATCGAATACATCAAGAAATATCACTGTCCCAATACTCTTATGCAATCAATTTATTTTTCATAATGTTTCTAAAACCTTGTTGTAAGGCCTGGAGTTCAAACACTTATCTTTCAACTTTAACAGTCTCAAAGGCGATAATGCCTGGTGAAAGGATTTCACATTGGATTGCTTTACTTCTAAATTTGGGTTTTATGACAACTTGAACAGATTTGTCTTCAGAGTGCTTACTTAAATTTTCTTGTATATTTTCTTCCAGTTTTGGGAAACCTAAAAAATAAGTGAAAGAACATAACTTTATGATGATCATATAATCTATCTTAGAAATAAAAAAATCTTTTGCCACAGTGTACGTCACTAAATGGAGCTTCTATTGAACTGAACCGATTTTAATCTTTAATTTTTTCTAACTCTAAAATAGGACAATTTTTATCTCAATTAACTATCTTTAAATAGGTTAGGTACATGTTGTTTAAAAATTCAAACAATTTTGGTTCTCTGTTACATACTTATTTCAGAAGCTCCTTTACGAAATTGACTTTGTGCACATCTTTCTTCTGATTCCTTGAGACACTCTGTGATAGTCATCATTCTTTTTCTTTTTGTAATACAAGAACGTTCTGTACTACCACACGTCCGTTTTCTTCTATCTTCTTGACATTCAAATTTTGTTGGAATACAACCTGGTTTCATACGGACTTGAGATACTTTTCCCATAATGTGGTATTGCATATAATTAACTATATCATTTGGCAACTAAAATAAACAAGTTAGTTACTAAATATATAAAATACATTTATGATTACATGTTTATCTTTAATCAAAGGCATATATAAAACCAAAACATAATAAAACAACAGTAATAAATAATATATTAAAACACTGATTTTATAATTAGTGATCTTAAAAAAATTATAAATTGTAATTTTAAGTTAAAAGAAAGTTCTATGTTAACTTACATCAAAATGATCTTCACAGAAATGCATTCTCGAGTCTGAAGACAACTTATGAGCATCATTTCTCCTTGCAAGTGTTAGCCATTTTTTCCGTATTTTTATGTTATTTGGAACATATATAAATAACTTATTTGGCGTTTTAATAGTTGTACTTTTACACTCAGGCACGACACAGTATTTGTAGTAGGACAATTCCATTTTTAACAAACTAAACAACAGCTGCCATAGACTGTTTATTTCGCACGTCGTGACGTCTTTCAAGACGCCATGATACATGAACCGCTCCGTGAGTGGGTGTTCGTTTGAGAGGTAAATTCAAAATATTTTTTTAAAAGTAAAACTCAGTTTATAATAAGTCATTGTTTATTTTTTAATTTTAAAAATGTTTTTGGTTAGGTATTAAACAATGTTTTCAAATTTAGTCAATACATTGAAAGATGTCGATTATAAAAAATAAGTGCCATCTAACGATCTTGCAACAAAACAAAGATTGAAACTAAGGTAAGCTTCTAAAAATCTGAACAGCGCCATCTCAAAATCTGCTTTATAATTAAATAGACTGTTGTTTACCACTTATCTGACAGTTCATATAGTTTTTCTGCCGAAGCGACGTTACAAGTGGTGTTTTAAGTCGCATGCGTGATACACAAACAAAAAACTTTTTGAACTTATTAAGATAATCATACGAATTTAAGACTTAAACAGAACGCTTGTTTATTTCAATATAAAATTAATATTTTCTGCAAACTCGTACTTTATTTTTCACTATTAAAACCACCCTATTGCCAAAACTTGCCACAAACGTTATTATTTATAATATATGATAATAATCCTGTGCTTATTGGTGTTTTGTTACTTTTCAAAAAACAAATAACCAGACTTGAGCTAATTATCAAATTTAATATCCACCACAATCCCTTAAATATAGTTATGTTTTGTTTAAATAAATATGCAATAAGTTTTTCATACCAAGCAGACTTGCATTTCCCGTTGGCGACATATGATGAGGCGGCGCGCAGTTCCGGCTGTCGTAACCTCCACGCGTGATGCAGTCTCAGCTCTGCCTCGTGTCTTCTCAGTTGCTCCTCTTTCTCAACTATGCCTTGGTTGATTTCTTGCAAGGTTGCCGTTGAGACATTGTTTAAATAAGATCTGTGTAGCAAAATAAGTTTATTTTCAACAAATAATAAACAATACATTTTATTTGCATTTTCTATTAGGTAATACAGTAGAAGCTGTAGGATGTGTTCCTTAAATATGCCGCGAATACAAAAAGCGTGAGTATGGTAAGGCATTTAATTTAATATGTTTCAAGGTTCCAAAATATAAATAGCAATATGTTTTTAATGAAATTCTAAAAAATCCACTTGGTCCCTGGCACCCTGAGATGGGATTCGAACCCATGACCTTTCAGTATAGCACTGTAAATGCGAAATAAATCAAATATGCGAATGAACGCGAATTTAATTTTATTTTGGATATCTTTTAAAAATACTATTGTGGTGAGATTATTGAGGAACTACCTATTGAAATCCATCTTTATTATCAGCTTTATATATAAGGACTTTTGAAGATTTTTATTATTTTTCTTTTTGCATTTTTTTTTTTAATTTAGATTCATATGCCTAAGTAGCTCATAATATTGCTTTTTAAAGAATTTTATGAATGCTAAAACGTAGCAAAAATAACAAGCAGTTTAAAAGCCACCTTGACACATACCCGAAGTATTTAAAAGATAACTGTTAATAAACAATGCTGAATCCCTTTATATTACCTATTGCATCCGCAAATAGACTTAAGCATATTATTTTTTATGAAATATGTTAGTTTAGAAAATTAAACATTAGACAACATCACATAACAAAACAATTCCAGACTAAATTAAGTTTTATTCATATACAGTTAGTTGCACAAACATTCATTAAGGTTTAATGACGCCTTTAAGCTCTAATGAATGTCAAATCTGTATTGGTAATGTAGCTTTAAACTAATGTAAATTTTAATGGATGTTTGTGCAACTGGCTGATAGAAAATTATATTTTCTACACAGCCTCTGCTGTTCGTAGTTGTAGTGTCTGAGCTTTGCAAATATCCATATCACAAGTTAGGCTGTAGTTACTTAACTTGGGATCTGAGAGGTAAGTGTAAGTTTTATGTGAATGCATTCACTAGTGAGCGCATTAAGAATTTAAGAATTCCATCATCGCTCACGATCGACGGTGAACTTAATGTCAAAAAAACTTAACACTAAGCACTCTGATCAATGTATATGTTGCCAAATATTTATATATTTTTATGGAAGACCTATTAAAGGAAATATTAATGATGTTTTAATAGGAAAAAAAAATCAAATTATTATAATACCAAATTGAAAAAATTGGCCTAAATCAGTCACTATGATTTTATTGCTCAAGTACAGAATATATTCTATTTGGAAACTAACCCGTTTTTATAAAGCTTTGGCTGCTGTGCGAGAGTCTTCAGTTCCTGTTGGTATTGCATATTCTCTTGGAATAACATCAACTCCAGTTTTTTGCGACGCTCTTCCAATTTACTATTAAACAAAAGAAAATTTTGAAAATATTTCCAGCAGATAATATTTTTGTTATGCATCCAGAAAAAGTTGAGGTATGGAGTCTTCGATTCTATGAGTGTAAATAATATGTCTAACCTAAACATAACTTAAATTTATACCATCAATATTATCAGTAAATGTTTTATAATAAGGAAAAATTGCGGTCAAGTTAGAGAATAAAGTTTATTTTCTATTTATTTATAAATTAGTGTTTTTCTGATGAAATTAAATACCTATGTCATCCGCATATCATACTAAGCTTTCATGATCAGATCAGTATTTCAGATTACCCCATATAAACCAACAAAGTAAGAAACTTTGCTTCCTTATAATATAAGTATAGATAATGTCCTTTTTTTTTTTTCATTTGTAAATTTGAAATGAAACTCACACAGCTCGGATTTTTCTTTCACTCAGCAGTTCAGCTTCTCTGTTGGCTCTCTCATAGTAACCTTCTGTAGTCCATTGTTCATGATGACGTGACTTGTTTGTATGATCCTCAAAATAATTTGCAATCTGTACACAAAATATTCAACAATTATATTTTTATACATTATCATTTCTGAATATAATAGAGTAGAAGCTCCTTATTCACGGCTTCCTTATTCGCAGGTGAAAAAGTTGTAACCCAATTTCTGTAATGATGCTAAATTTGTTTATTCTTAGATGCAAATGGTAACATAAAGGAATTCAGAGTCATTTATTAATGCATCATCATCTTTGATTACTTAGAGCATGTGTCTAGGTGGCTTTTATAAAGTCTTGTAATTATTGCTTCATTATAGCTTTAACAAAATACTTAAAAAGGCTTCATTATGAATGCTGCAGATATTTAGTTATGAATTTGATCTTAAAGACAGTAAAAACAGTTTTATGTGGCTTTTAAAAGATCTTTCAAAAATTCAATAAAGGAAAATTAAATAAAATCTTTAAAAACCCCTAATTAAAGCTGACAATAAAGATTGCTTTTAATTGGTAGTTATGCAATACTCTTACCTCAATTGTTTGGAGGGGGTTCTACTGTAAGCAATTTAAGATATTTCTTAAAGCTCAATAATAATCATCATTACAGCCATTGCAGGGTTAATCAACTCGAATGAAAACAGAAGATTGAAAGTGAAACTGATTTGCTTAATAGTGGTCCAAACGACATTCACCCAGTTACACAAATTTCAATTAAAAAAAAAACATTTGTTTTAAAACAACTTCACCTATACCAATTTTCAAATTTATAATATTCAATATAGCTTAAACACTTTGTGCAATTGTGTGCGAGTATTATACACTTAATCTAATATTTTTCTACCTTCCTTAACTCCTCAGCTCGACGAAGTTCATTGTCTCGACGCTGCGCTGCTATTGCCTGCAGTTGCCATTGTGGACGAGGACGAGACATTTTCTGTTAATTAATCAATAGCCGTTGTTTACAGTCTTATTAAATAGGAATTATTCTAATCCTGAGAATTTGAATTATTCTAATTAATGAAAAATGTAGAAAACACTGGTTATTGTTATGGTAGCATTTTATTGTCACTATTGTAAAAATCTTTCAAAAATTACAACAATATAATAAATAATAATAATCTTTGGTATGGAAACTCAATTTGAAACTTACGTATTTGCGCTCGAATTCTACCGTGACAACGCAGAATTTAAATCGCAAGCGATCTATGTAGTATATTCGTCCCAAATTGGACCTTAAACACAACGCGCCACAATTAGTCACTAGGGTCGAAATCAATACACCGACTTCTCAAACTTTAAGATCACTGATATTATTCACCAACACTCACGTAGGTGCGCAAAATTATATGCAATTGAAACATGAGGTCACACGGTCACACTTATTAAGGATCGCTGAATTTATTTCCTTAATCGTTCACTTTGTATATGACGACAATTCAAACGCAACGTGCGAGTCGGACTACGTAGGTGCTAGAAAGAGAACTTCATATCATTCTATGAAAAATTTGTAAACAAACACTCGTGCACGTGTCATGTCTGACAGTTGCTAGGCAACAAAACAATTTTATTGTTCATAGCTTAAGAAAAATTCACTATACTGCCAACAAAGAAAAACTCGTGCATTACGAAGAGAATAGATTAACAAACTAGTAGCCAAACGCAAACATACAGTCAAGTAAATTAAATACTTATTTATATCTATATAAAGGTAATATAATCTTCTTGCTGACGGTAAACTTATAAACAAATTCATGATGAGAATAAATCCAAGTTCAACATCACGTATTTATTAGTGTTAGATATCAGTAGATGGCGCTGGTATTATAAAATTATTAGATTATTTTATCTAAAAATGAAAATAATCATATAAGTATAACTAGTAGTCGTCCAGTGGTCGTAATTCGACCATAATAAATTTTAATTAAAAGTTATTACTGAAATCGAAAACCTTTGACATTCAGTAAGACCACAGTAAACATCACAAACATTTAAATAGATGTCTATGGTAAACATTTGCTAAATGCACAAACCGTGCGAAGCCAATATTCAAAAGAATAAACAAACTCTATGTCAAAAGATTTTTATATTAAATTTTCACAAATAAAATTTTGACAATTTGTCGTCAGTAGTGCTATCGCTATACACATTCAATTTTCCCAACTATATGGGAGCATTTTCTTTTTATTTTACTTGGTATAATTTATAAATATCTTCTTTTAATTAATTATATGCCTCAACTTTAGTATAGGCAACTGCGCAAACTGTGTTGATAATTTTTTCATACACGCAAACAGATACACGCAAAGTGGTTTAATTTTCTAACGCCTTGAGCGTGGAATTCGTTAGTGAAAATACGTAAAATTGAACATTTGTTTGATGTTTTATGAACTTTGACAAATGTTTTTGTCTTAAACACAAATTTTATCGAAAAGCAAAGGGATTTATATGCACAGAGCCTACTTTCGTGATTGTTTTTTTTAAGTTTTTTCAAAGAAGTTTTCAAAGTTACAGTATTTTACTAATTGATTTTATACATATATCTACATTAATCGTTCATTTATCATTGTACACGACTAACTGTGCTCTAATATGTAATTAGCTTTTGATACCAGGTTTATTATACTCTTTGATTTTATATAACTATACTTTTTGGAATACTATATATTTGTATGTATTGAAATAGATTATAAAATAAAATCATTAAATGTCAGTGTACTAAAGACAAGCGGTCATATCATTTACAATCATAATGGGTGAAATTTTCGACAGCTGGCAATACAATATCAATTACCCATTTTTCCGTTCGTTCTGTCGTTCGCACATATTCTGCTTTTGTTTAATTTAAAGTTTAATCGTAGATATGAGGGAGACAAATATAATAAACCTATTTATATTATATAGTATAAATATTATTTGCAAAGCTACGTCCTGATTTCGGAAAAGTGCTACGCTTTTGCGACGCGTCTGTTGTATGGGATTGCTTCTCTAGTTATTAAACTCATTATTTCATGTAAAATTTATAGACTACAAAATTATCAATAAAAAAAAAACATCAAGTTAGAAGACTAGTGGCATCTCTCGACAAAATAACTTATTTAACAAGCTGTATTGGCCATTGAATTGGTACAAGAGGCGGACTTAATGCTAATAGCATTCTCTACCAGTCAACCTTTGGGAACAGAAAAATATGATAGTGGCATAAAGTTAACTAATAAATATACTGCTTAAACTATACTACAAATGAATTTATATACAATTATATATTATACTTACGTATAAACATAAATAAATATTATACCTACACATAAACACATATATATTATACAAATTCATAAATATAAGACAAATATAATGATGATTTTCATAAATGTCCCAAGAGAGCTTTCCGTTTGTTAGGAGAACGTCTGATGGTGTTGGGGAGGCCATTCCACAGTCGTATGACTGGAAGTATGAAAGAGTTGGCCATAATGCTAGAATGAAAAAGTGGAGTAGATGGTGCAAATGTATTAGCAGAACGCAATTCAATATCATACATAAATCTCCGTTTATTGCTAATGCGCCTGGCCGCTATTTTGATGAGGTAATTGCGTACCGTTGACAAATAAAAACTGGTTGACGTGTACACTTATTGCAACTGCTATTATTTTTTTCACAATAAGTAGACATTTCACTAATAATAAATATATCTAATGTCTCATATTTCATTATTACTTTTTATTTTGTTAAAAATGTTCTTTCCTTTGGTTATTATTCATGATTTTTTAATTTTCCATATACCTCAATTTTTACATATGAATTGATTCTTTTCCAAATGTTCATGCAACAAATTAACAAACTAGAAGTTATTTATAATAAATGATTTATTTCTTGCCTTTTGTGCTATCAATACTTTCTAACTCGTCACGTCACATTATTTAGACAAGGTTCCAGCGCATTAGCAATTCTGATCCGATGTTTTTGCCCGGTATTGAAAGCTGTTAATGAACAGTCCCACCCATTAAATAAAAAAGAGGGCTGTGAAGCCGGAGTAGGTTGGCATCATCAGTCCTGCTGAGGCACAGGCCTTCTCTAACGATGACATCAAATAGGGGGAACGGGCAATAAACCCAACACACTCGGACAATGCGGTTTAGTGGATTTACAGCTTACAGTGTCCAAAGCAAGGAGAATGCAAAGTAGCTCTCGAGATAACAAAGCTTTGATCACATGGGTGATTAATGGCTTATGTCCGGCCCTTATGAAAGTTCATTAAGGTCATTTCACACCGAGACGCGTTGCTGCGCGCACATTTATAGAACGACTGAAAATATAGGTTTATTTACGAAGTTACTGGACCGATATTAAAAAATAATTTCACTTAAGGTAAGCTGCTTCATGTGCGGATGCCACAAGCTACAATTTACTGCCCCGGGGCAGATTAAGATGGGAGGGGAGAGGGGTCCCAGCAACCTCCAAATGTCCGCTAAAATCATAATAATTGATAAAAGTAAAAAATGTATGCGCGGGGGGTGTTG